TTTTCAACTTTTTTATTTGAATTAGAAACAAGATTGTTTTACATGACGATCCCAGTTCCTTTCTCCTATCTATCCTCCCCTGCCACCCTCCCAACTAAAACCCTACCTATCACATATCCTTTCTGCTCCCCCTGGATGGTGAGGCCTTCCATAGGGTGCCATCAGAGTCTATTTTATCCTTTTGGATAGGGCCTAGGCTCTCCTTCGTGTGTCTTGGCTCCAGGAGTATCCCTCTTATGTGGAATGGGCTCCCCAAATTCACACCTATGCTAGAGATAAGTACTGATCTACTACAGGAGGCCCCATAGATTCTGAGTTCTCCTCACTGACACCCACATTCCTGGGGCCTGGATCAGTCCCATGCTAGTTTCCCAGCTATCAGTCTGGGGACCAAGAGCTCCCCTTTGTTCAGGTCAGCTGTTTCTGTCGGTTTCACCAGCCTGGTCTGGACACCTTTGCTCATGACTCCTCCTTCTCTGCAGCTGGATTCCAGTTCAGTTCAGTGATTAGTTGTGGGTGTCTGCTTCTACTTCCACCAGATGCTGGATGAAGGCTATAGGATGGCATATGAGTTAGTCATCAATCTCATAATCAGGGGAGGGCATTTAAGGTAGCCTTTCCTCTGTTGCTTAGATTGTTAGCTGGTGTCATCTTTGTAGATCTCCAGACATTTCCCTAGTCCCTGATTTCTCTGTAAACCAAAATTGTCTCCCTCTATTATGATATCTCCATTCTTGTTATCATCTATTCCTCCCCTGACTCAACATTTCTGCTCCTTCATGTCCTCTGCATCCCCCCTTTTCTCCCCTTCTCATTCTCCTTGCTCCCTCCCCCCTCTTCCTCCAGTGAGTGCAGGTTGGGTCTTTCCCTCCCTCTAGTGGCAGGCAGAGGGCTCAGCCTCTGGAGGCAGCTGGATGGCAGATTGTGGACAGGGGTGAGGTGTGTCCAGACTCAGGGTGGGCAGGTCCACTCTTGTGGGGGGAGCGGGTTTAGGCAGAAGCGAGCAGGGGTTAATGGGGGAGTTTGGGGGGGGAGAGCAGTGCCCAGACTCACCTGAGGCTTGGGTGCCTGCTGCAGGACCACATTCTAAATCTTAAAATATATTTTTCTGCCCTGAATGTAGCCCTTGACCAGAAAAAGGAAAACTTCTAACTCTTTCTCAGGATTATGAAGTTATTTTATTTTATTTATTTATTTTTGTTGCCCTGGCCAGTTAGAGAATGTTGTTTCCCCATGGTGTTCTGAACAAAGGCCACAAAACTGAGGTTAGGAATTTGTACAGAGAGTTAATCACTGTCCCCAATTATCAGCCAGACCTGTCACAGCAATTAAGTTGCTTCACACTTTTTACCTTGGTTCAACAGATCAAACAGTTTGTTATATATCCTTGTAATAAGATTTTTTTCTGGGACTAGTTTAACTCAGATTCCACTAGCAAGGCACCTGGTCTTTTCTAAAGCTACTATGAAATTTTATATCAGTTGATTGTATATAGCTATCTTGGCAGCTAGGGAAATACAGCATGCAACTATTTTCTTAAGCCACTCTCTCTACCTTTTATCCATCTTCTAGAAATTGATTCCATGTGTGAAGTGTGTAGAGGAGCTGAGGTCAGATCCCCAGGAGCCATGTAAAGCCCCACTTTGTATTGTGTATATATAGTCCCGTGTTCCCATGGAGAGATGGAGGCAGAGGCAGGAGAATCCCCAGAGACATCTCTGACCTACAAAATATCAAAAAAGATCCCCTGATTCAAGCAAGGTAGATTGATCAAGGATTGATGTCCAAGGTAGTTTACATACAGCCATACTATGTGGCACCTACATGCCTGAACTAATGGAGTTTTTTTTTTTTAAATGCTTGATGATTAATTTTTTAGTAAAAGGCTCATCTTAAAATTTAGAATTTTAAATTGTTCTTCCATTAGTCTAAAGTGAAATAATATTAGCATAATTTTGACAATGAATTCTTCTATTGTGTATCCATAGCTTAGGCCATTCTCACAGGGGTAAGATGAAATCTGAAAGTAGGTTTAATTTTCATTTCCCTAATATCTAAAGACTTTGAACATTTGTAAGTATTTCTAAGCTATTTGTGTTTCATTTTTTGAAAACTCAGTTTTTCAATTGTTATTATAGACCATTTACACTTAACATAGCTGTTTATTTGGTTCTATTGAAATGTATCACTTTTAAATGGAAAAGTTTTACTTGTTAGTTACCTCCAGGTTCACTATTTTCTGCTTTTCTCTCTTCATCTTATGTTAATTACTTTTTTGACTCCATTTTACTTCTGCTATAAGGACACTATTTATGTCTTAATTTTTTCAGTGTTTAACTATACATTTAACTAATGACATTTACCCATTTCTTTTCTTTTGTAATTTATATTTTAAAGCAAACTTTTCTCATTTCACATGCCAATCCCAGTTCCCACTCCCCCCTTCTCCCAATCACCTAACTCTCCCCCATCCCTCCCCCCATCCACTCCTCAGAGAGGGTAAGGCTTCTGATGTGGAGTCAACAAATTTTGGCACATCACTTTGTGGCAGGATCAAGGCCCTCCTCCCATCTAGGCTGAACAAGGTATCCGTCCAAAAAATGGGCTCCAGAAAGCCAGTTCAAGCACTAAGGATAAATTCTAGTACCACTGCCAGTGGCCCCACAGATGGTCCAAGCAACACAACTGTCACCCACATTCAGAGGGCCTATTTTGGTACTATGTAGGTTCCCTGGCTGTGAGTCCGGAGCCAGTGAACTCCCAGTAGCTCAGGTCAACTCTTTCTGTGGGTATCCACATTATGGTCTTCATCTTTTGTCATATTAACCTTCCTCCCTATCTTCAGCTGGACTCTGGGAGCTCTACCATAGGCTTAGCTGTGCATGTCTGCATATGCTTCCATTGGTTGCTGGATGAAGGTTCTATGTTGGCAATTAAGTCAGTCATCAATCTGATTAGAGGGGAAGTCCCGTTCAGGCACCCTCTCCACTGATGCTTAGGATGTTAGTTAGGATCATCTTTGTCCATTCCTGGGTATTTTCCTAGTGCCAGGTTTCTCACCAGCCCCATAATGGCTCCCTCAATCAAGATACCTCTTTTCTTGCTCCCCCACCCTGTCTTTCCCCCATCTGGACCATCCTATTTCCTCATGTTCTACTCCCCTCTCCTCCTTCTTCTCCCCTCTCCTTCTGTCCTCCATTCTCTCTCCCCAACACTCCATGTTCCCAGTTTTCTCAGAAGATCCTGTCTATTTCCCCTTCACAGGGGATCCATGTATTCCTCTCTTAGGGTCCTCCTTGTTACCTAGCTCTGGGGTCATGGACTATATAGTCTGGTTATCCTATGCTTTATGTCTAATACCCATTTTTGAGTGAGTGTTTGTCTATCTGGGTCTGGGTTACCTGGCTCAGGATGTTTTTTCTAGTTCCATCCATTTGCTGGCAAATTTTATGATATCATTGTTTTTTACTGCTGAGTAGTACTCCATTGTGTAAATGTACCACATTTTCTGTATCCATTCTTCAGTTGAGGGGCATCTAGGTTGTTTCCAGTTTCTGCCTATTACAAGTAATGCTGCTTCGAACATAGTGGAGCAAATGTCCTTCTAGTATGAGTGTGCAGCCTTTGGGTATATGCCCAATGGTGATATGACTGAGTCTTTAGGAAGATTGATTCCCAATTTTCTGATTTCCAAAGTGGCTATACAAGCTTGCATTCCCACCAGCCATGGAGGAGTGTTCCCATATTCCACATTCTCTCCAGCATAATCTGTCATTGGTGCTTTTGATCTTAGCTATTCTGACTGGTGTAAGATGGCATCTCAGACTCATTTTGATTTGCATTTCCCTGTTGGCTAAAGATGTTGAGTAACAGCTTAAGTGTTTTTTGGCTATGTGAGATTCTTCTGTTGTGAATTCTCTGTTTATATCTGTAACCAAATTTAATTACATTATTTGGCATTTTGATGTCAGATTTCTTGAGTTCCTTATGTATTTTGGAGATTTGTGCTCTGTCCAATCTTATATAATACATTTTAATGTATTATATAAGATTAATACATTTAATTTATCCTTAGTAGATCATTAGCCAGTATTATTTTACTTTATTGAAATTGGGTCTAACTATGTAGCTCTCAATGGCCTGGAATTTGGCTTCAAAGACCAAGAGATCTTCCTGCCTCTGCCTCCAGAGTGCTGGGGTTAAATACATGTGCCAAAAATGCTGGCAATATTTTGTTTTTAAAACAGCCTTACCACATGTTTGTACAATAATCTTTCAGTTAACATTTAGATCATTTCATCACTGACAGAAACTCTATGGACTTTTGTAGTCATCACCAAGTTTTCTCTCCTCACTACCTATCACCTCTCACAAGTACCTAACCCCATCAATGTCCCTTTATTTCTCTCTACATAATGTCTCTCCTGTGTCTTCCCTCTCTCTACTTACTTCTTCCTCTCCTAGCCCCACCTGTCCTTGGTGCCTGGTTACTGACCAGTTGGTGTTTTATTCATCAGCCAGTAAGAGAAACATACAGAAGGTTCATCAGGGATGTTGGCTTGGAGTTTTATCTTTATGGTCTGCCCATATCTGCTTTAGTATCAGGGTAATACTGACCCTGTAGAATGTGTTTAGAAGTATTCTTTCTGCTTCATTTATGGGCACTAGTTTGATAATAATGCCCCCTCAGATCCTGTACTTTTCTTTGACAGGTACTTTAAAGTGATATTATATGTTTCACCAAAGGGTTATGTTTTTTACCCCTCATTGTAGATGTAGGAGAGAAGTTAGGGTCTGAATTATTGGCATTGAGATGCATTGCTGTGGTATTGGAATCATTTTATGGTTCTTTTCCATTAAGTTTGCAGAAAAATGTGAAATTTGACATATAGTTGTAGTCAAAATGATTGTAAAAGGAAAAGGTACACCTGTTGGTAGTATTCACATAGCTTCCATTTCATCAATGTGACATGTAAAAAGTTGTTTATCTTTTATTTTAGACATTGCATCTGTGGAAGAATGGATAATAAAGGTCACAATGAGTGAAGGATTAAATATTTATAACACTGAGGGGACCCTATTGGATCTTGTCCGAGGTAAATATCAGCATATAAAGTAGAATGGAATTCACATAGTCTTTGAACAAACTTTGATGACTATCATACAGTACCAAATCCCAGATGGCCAGGACCACAGCATGATGGAGCAAATATGAATATATATTATAATATATCATAATATATTATAATATATGTATATATGTATTCAGTATGCAGAAATAGGATCAGCCTGCTGAAGCACAGAAAATGATGGCACGGTTGGTGTCCCCTGAGTTTGGAAGGGCTGATAGGTATTGTGGGAAATTAGCTATAACAAAACAAAAATGCATTAACTGAGTGCATTGAGTAGGAAGGTGATAAACTCTGATGTAAGCTTTAGAAAAGGTCCCTCTGTTAGATGCTTGGAGAAGAATGGCAGGAATGGAATAAAGGCCATGGCTAGCAGCTGTTGCATCACCACACCCAACAGCTGCCTGTAATCCTCTGGTAGTGGTGCATGCCATGCAGAAATTGAGCAGGAACAGCCCAAAGTACTTTGTAGGTAGAGCAGAAGGGATTCCTGATGGCCAGGGGTAAGGGAAGTGGGAGTGCCAAGGATGAATCCTCTACTTCTTCTGGAGCAATCAAGTAGAGCAGTTAGAGATAGAAGGGGTGTAGTGCTATATTGTTTATGATTTAAGAAAGCTTGCCTGAGTATCTCTAAAGCAAAGCTAGCCTTAAGTCAGAGAGTCAAGCAATGGTGATACACACCTTTAATCCCAGCAGCCATACTACTAGCCATAGAGTCAGGCATTGCTGGCACACACCTTTAATCCCAGGACTCAAGAGACAAGCAGAGGTATGTCTGTTAGTTCAAGGCCACACTGAGCTACAATGAAATTGATGCAGTCCTAAAGAGAAACAGCTCCCACAAAGGTGATCTCAGCACTTGGGATCACATGCCTTTAATCCCAGCACTAAGAAGGTATAAAAGGAAAAGGAGAAGGGCCTCATGAGAAGATTTATTCTTCAGTCATGTTGAGGGGAGGCAATAGTCTAGGATTGTAGTCCCAGGATTTGTGGAGCTAGCTGGATCACCCTTTCTACCTTAGGTAGAGGTAAGAGCTACTGGCTTGGCTGCTTTGATTGTCTGACCATCAGGTTGAACCAAATATCTGTCTCTGGGTTTTGGTTATTTGTGTTACAGAGGGGCAACACAAGGAAATAAGAGTCAAAGCAAAAGTGAGGGTGTGGTGTTAGTCTTTATTCTCTACTAAACTCAAAAGAGGTGCTTAAAAATCCTATCTGTGCTGCTTCATATCTAATACAGACTGAAAGGGACTCCAAGCCATGCATCTCAATTCTGTACTGTCCACATAAATTGTTTTTAGTCACAGGTCAACAGTGACCTCCCCATTGGTCACTTTGCAAGTGGCAAATGAGGGGTTAGGGACTTTATAAAACAAAAAGAGGAATTTAGGGAAAGTAAGTTTCTATAGGAAGTCAGTTTCCCTGAGGTTGAAAAGTGGTAATTACCAGAAAAGATCTGGTGTTGATCTTATCAGAAGTTTACCAAAGGTGTTTATCAGTCAAATAAACTTTTCTGAATAATTTCTCAGCTCATCTGAGGCTTTTAGGTCCCTAAAGGTCTTTAGTTCTTATGACTTAAACAGAGCATCTGAACCCGAGCAGCTTTTTCTTAACATAAGGCACTGTCAATCCAGGACACATCAAACTTCCTTATTCTCTAAGATCAGATGCGAATGGCCATAAACCATGTGACATTCCATGATGTCAGTTCCTTACCTGAAGCTCTGTGAAGTCGTAACTTCCTGCTGAATTGCTGTAGTTGAGATTGTTTGTTTCCTCTTCCGGGACTGAATAATAGCCAAAGAGACAGAAATTGAACTGCTTCTCTTGCTTTACACAAAGCAGAGGAAAATGGAAGTTACCAAGGGTATTTGGGTCTAGACACAGTTGATTTTTCTGAAAGTCTGAGGAGACTGAACTGCCTTGTAGAATACAAACAGCTAAGAACTGATTATCACATCTCTCTGTTGTTAAAGGTTCTATGGCTATTTTTTAAAATCACACAGGAGTATTCTTGCAACTTCCCTGGACTACCTTGTTCTTCTCTGTTACTTTTGTTTCAAATTTTTTCCAAAAGAGGAAAATGTTTTTCTTTTTTAATTTTTAAATCAGAAAGTTTTGAGAAGATTTTTTTCAATGTTCCTTTTCCTCAGGAGAAAAGAGAACTCCCATTTTTACATATAAAAATTTGACTTGACCTTCAACATGTTTCATATCCTTCTAAGAACTAAAACTGTAACCTTTGTCTTTCTCAGAGGATCATTTGCCTCCTCCAGTCTGCTGAGTAAGAGTGCAGTTTCCCTGTTCAGCTCCAGTGATGCTCTGAGCTATACTGATCCCCAGGAGAGTCCCACTTTTTCTAGCATTCTTGGAATGCTTCTCAGAGAGGGAAGAAAGATATGGAGAAAAGCAAGGAACTTCTGAGTTAGAGTTTAGCCAAAACGAAAGCAGGGGAATTTTAAAAACAACCAGATTTTCCATAGGAAGGTGATCTGCAGTTTTGATAGGCTGAAGACAGATTTTTTTTTTTTTGTTGTTGTTGTTAATCCACTCTCAAATTCTACCTGTTTCCTCGATACCTTAGTCTCTTGTTCACTGGTGATAAAGTCTCCTTTCTCTATTTATACTCTGAGTTTATTCCCTCTTTATTTACCTACTGCTGCTTTGATGGATTTGTAAAAAGGAGTGAAAGGGAATGTGTGCTTTTGAAGCAGAAGCAATCCCTAAATGGCAAATATCACTGTTCTGTGTTCCAGCTCCGTAATTCTAAGCACAGCCCATGTGACTATATATTTTCCATATATGGCTAAAGTAATATCTCTCATTCTAAATGTTATTTGTCAGTATGACCTTCCCAGAGTATTATCAAGAGAATTTCATTCTTTCTCCTTTGCACAATGAAACAGACCCATTTGTAACCGATGAGTCATGAGATCATATTATACCTGGGTATAAAGGTTTTATGTTTATGGGTATTTTCCCAGTATACAAATCTGTGCATCACAAGTGTGCCTGATGCTCTGGGAGGTCATAAGAGTATTGGATCTGCTGGAACTGGGGCTTCAGAAGACACTGAGATGCTCTGTGGGTGCTGGGAATCAAACCCAGGTCCCCTGAAAGAGCAGCCAGTGTTCTTAACCATGAACTATTTCTCCAGCTTCCACTATATCCTCTACCTGCCTTGAACATCAAATATTTCCTTTCCATAGTTTTTCTAAAGAAAAATAGTGGTGTTCCAGTTTCAAGAGTACTGCTATGATGTTAATGCCTAAATTTGCCTGCCACAGAGCCTATTCTTCAGTGGAATCTTGGAACAATAATGAATGGACCACAGGTCAAAAAATTGTACCCACATGTGAGAGATATCAAAGTGACAAAGTGCCTCTGTGCCAATGATGTGGCATTACTAGGCTTAATTTTGAACTCGACATTTAATGGTAAGTTACAGTCTGATTGAATGTTCGAGGTAACTAGTGTTTTATAGTGGATAAGGGTGGTTTTAAGTGGCAATACACACTACATGCATACAGACAATAAATTTAATGGTTGTTACTTTGCCTCTTCTTCTTGCAAGTTTGACCTGCTAGGAGAGCTACTCCTTTGTTGTGGCCTTATGTCATACAAATGGTGACTTAAAACTGGGCATGATGGTGTATTTACACCTAGAAACCCAGTTACTTGACAGTCTGAAACAAAGTAATTGAGTTTAAGGTTAACCTGAGCCACTTGTTAGACCCTGCTTCAAAACCAGTTAACAAAGTCAATCACATAGTTGGTAGATGTCTTGATTTGTCTGTCCTCTGTCTTTTTAAGTTTGTTATATCTTCCCAGAGATGGTTTATTGAGTCCAGTCTATCTTCTTCTCTCTGCTATGTGCAAACCAGTGTTGTTATTTCTGAGACACTACCTTATTGTATTTATTACATATGTATTTTTTCAATTTTGTTAAATATAATGGTGTATGGAGAAAAAGTAACTGTATTAGACATTCACTTGTCACACTTGTGGCATCAAATATAAGGCCTTTCCCACACTGAGCAATTTTTCTGTTTACTAAAGATGCCACGTGGATATCCTGTGATTTAGTTCAACTCTGGAAATAGGTACACAGAGTCAGTATCAACTCTCTCAAGTTAAAAAAAACTTAAATCCCATTTCATATTCCAGTCACATGTGGCAGGTTGTGACCTGTGCTTCTAATCTGGCTGCTATAAATTGAAGGGTCCTATAAGCCCCTTTCTTAAATACAAGACTTTGCTAGACTATTCACAGAACTCAGGGAAAGTCCTGCACATTTACCAGGACAATGTCAAGGATGCTAGAAAGGATTCAGGTGAAGAGCCAAACAAAGGGGTACCAAAGTAAGATCTAGACAGGTCCCAGTCACAGGAAGTCCCGTTCCATGGCATTGCATTACACCATCTGTCAGGATACGGTGTGCATGTCAATCTGGAAGCCCTCCTAAAGCCTGGAATAAAATATATTCATGGAGGCTTCACATCAATCATTAATTGAACCTCCAGCCTCTCTCCCCTTCCTGAGGATTATGTATGAAGCTGCAAGTTTCAACTCCAAGTATGGTTGGGTCTAAGCTGTGTCAAAGTGAAGCTGAATATCTGCTTCCCAGCTTCCAGATTTCACATGGAATAGTCTTTATCTGATTTACATTTCTTGCCTCTCCAGCTTTTCAAATCCTTTCATTAGAAACTGTATTCTGGGACTGGGGGCAGCTTAGGCCCACTGGCTGGCTCCTGGCATGAAGCCCTTGCAGCTGTGACCTGTGCTGTTTGCCCTGCAGATGCAGTAGTGATGCCTACAGACTTAAAGCCCATATTTCCTACCCAGTGGTTGGCCCCTATGACAGGAAGATGTCCTGGAGCTCCCTCAGAAATATGCCATAACTGAATAGGACAGTCAGCCCCCAGTATGGAGCCGCTGCAGCTGTTGCATGAGGTGCTCACTTTGCTGGGAGATGCAGCAGAGCTGCCTGAAGGCTACAAGCACAAAGGTGAGCTTCACGGTGGCAGACATAGAGGGCAGGGAGGTGTGTGGCAGTCAGGAGCTTATATAGAACCTGTCCCAGGATGCCCTGCCTAGATGTCACATCACCCTGACTCTTGGTAACAGTAGAATACCTGAAATGTGTGTTTTGGCAATGGTCCAGGATTTAGCCAGACCAGTATTTGCATTCAGAGCCGTCTGGGCTTTACATACATGCATGCATACGAATCTCACACACACACACACACACACACACACACACACACACACACACACACACACACACACACTTAATGTGGGAAATTCCCAATATGGAACCAGGTAAAAAATACAAGGGAATTTAATAGGGAAAAGCCTTACTTACAGAGCAACCTAGGCAGCTAGCGGGGCAGCAGTAATACAGCAAGCCGAAGATGAAAGCCAAAGAAGGGGCCCACCACATGAGTGCCACTCACTATTAAACCTTCCCTATGTCACCCTGACCACGCCCTAGCAGGCATGGTCAGATACACCTGTATCCAGCCCATAGCAGGCTGTGGCTACAGGTTTCCCTACAATCCCCCTTTTAGTCTAAAAGAGGATTAAAACTTAATAGTGTAAAGTATCCAAAATTAACAATCATAAAGGTGAAATATAAGAGGATACAACAATCTGCTTATGTCACATCCTAACCATGTCTATTTTAACTAAACCCTAAAGCCATCTGAAAGAGGTGTCCAAGTCTGAACACCACCTTCCAATCCCAACCATAAACAAGAGGAAGCTATCCCTAACTAGGTATATACACTATCCTAAATGACAACAATGGGGAAAGGGGCGTAGCATCCTCCAAGCTACTTCCTTCTGAAATGGGACAGCAATAGCCTCGTGGGGTCCTGTAGGAAGAAAATGTTGGTATAGGGAAAGTCTCGAATGGATTGTATCTGGTCCATGATAGTTGGGATTTGATTGATTGAAGATATCGCTTGAAATCCTCAACTTGATTGAAGTCAGTACTCAAAGCTCTGGCTGGAGTGTCAGTTGAAATGGAGCAAGTTGGATCCAGTGCAGTCAAGGAGGTATGGCCCAATTTCTTTCCAGGGCATCCATGGATTGCTGTCAGGCAGGTCTTCATTGGATATGTGGGACTCAAACATAAATTTTTGCTTATGTAAGTATGCATACTAGAAAAGGCAACCATGGGAAGATAACAATTATGAGAGGGTGTACACCTAGAAAGAAAGAGCCAAGAAAAGACAAAGATAGTCCCCAAATTCTTCTCTAATTCTGTATTACATCAATTGGCTTCTTAATTCAATACAAAACTCTAAAGTTTAGTTAAACAACATGTTTGGGTTTTTAGAGGAGGAAAGCCAAATCCACCTCTAAACTAGCATTTGATTTACTTGAATAGGGACTAAGAAATAAAGAGAAATAGAGTTCTCTGAGAGACAGCTGTAAAGTTTACCGTATGGCACATTCCTTTTGTTTGATGGTTATAGCTGCCTTCTCTTCCAAAGTATCTACCCATGCAGTGTCCTTTGCCTTCTGGAGATGAGTTTTTCTGTGAATATAAAAGGAAAACACTTCCCTTTCTTTTGGGGGGTTTCTATTTCGTTTATGAGATACACCTTAGTAGAATACCTGTCATTTCTCCTCGTCGAGAGGTTTTTCCTTTTCAACTCGAATCTTGATCATTTCTTCTCCTGTAGAAACCAATGCAAAACCCCTACCCCAACGTAATACATGTCCTGGTTTCCATGCAGAGGTTAGTACATCTTTGAAGTATAACGGCTGATTCAGTTCAGCAGTTTTCTCTGTAGTCCAGTGTGTTTCTGCAGCTGTTTGTCCTTTCTCATTAGCATTAAGAAAGTTAAGTGTTAATAAAGCATTATGCAACCTATGTTGGGGGGTTTAGACTTCCAAGCCTGTCTATGGAGCATCTCCTTAAGTGTTCTATTAGATCTCTCAACCACTGCTTGTCCCATAGGATTGTGTGGTATACCGGTGACATGCTTTATGTTATAATGTTTGAAAAACTGTTCCAATTTTATGGAGACATAAGCTGGAGCATTGTCAGTTTTTATTTGTGCAGGTCTACCCATAACTTCCATCACCTCTAGCAGGTGTGTAATAACAGAATCAGCTTTTTCAGAGTTAAGAGCAGTAGTCCATTGGAACTCTGAGAATGTGTCTATAGTATGATGCACATATTTCAAATTTCCAAATTCTATAAAATGAGAGACATCCATTTGCCAGATCTCATTCTTCCGAAGGCCTTTAGGATTACATCCTGCTGGCAGCAGAGTTTGTTTATAAAAAGAACAAGTAGGACAGCTCATGGAATCTCCATGGCTGTCGGTCTGGAGTTCATGAGTTTCCATGAGCTTGGTTCACTTTTTCAAACCTTTGCTATTTACATGATGTTTCTTATTAAATTCTGAGGCTTCTAGCACAGTGCCAGTTAATAAACAATCAATCATTGCCTTGTGCTAGTGGGCCTGGCACACCTGTATGGGATCTGATATGTGTAATGTATATAGGATTACTTCTGTTTCTGATTATTTCCTGTAATTGTATAAACAGTGATGTTAATTCTGTGTTATCAGGAACGAATTTTGTAGTCTTAATGTGTAACAGGACTGACTCTCTCTGCATATTGAGAATCAGTAACTATATTAAGAGGTTCTGTAAAATCCATGAGTCCCATGAGAATTGCATATAATTCTGCCTTCTGTACAGATGTATATGGACTTTGAACTACTTTACTTACCTCACCTGCTTTATAACCTGCCTTACCTGATTTGTTGGCATCAGTGTAGAAGGTAAGAACTCCAGAAATGGGAGTTTGTCTTACAACACGTGGAAGAATCCAGACTTTTTTTTTTAAATGAATTTAATTGTCAGTTTTGGGATACTTGTTGCTAATCGTTCCTAAAAGATCAGTAAGAACTATTTGCTAATATTCATTATCCTTCCACAAGGAGGAAATTTTCTCATTATTTAAAGGTACTATAATTTCTGTTGGATCTTTTCCAGTCAGTTGAAGGAGTCTTAATTTGTCCTTTAGAATCAAATCAGAAATCTTTTCTATATATGCCTTTAACCTTTTATTCTGTTTATGTGGCAGAGTATCCACTCCGATACGATGTCTTCCCTCTGCATCAGAATCCCAGAAGGGTATTCTCTGGATGGCAAGATAACCAGAATACAGTCTAAATTAAGGTTTATCCGATCTACATGCGCATCCAATATTCTGTTTTCTATCCAATGTAATTCTTTTTCCGCATCAGCGGATCATATTCTTGGAATGTTTAGGTCCTTATCAACATTAAGGGCCATTTTTAAATGCTTTAAGTCATGTCCTTCTACCCCAATAAAATCGTCTGTAATTGAGAAATTTCCCCTAGCAGGTTCTGAAGACTATGAAGAGTTTGATAATGATCCCTTCTAATTTGTACCTGATTCTTTGTAAGTCTATCTTGTAACCTAAATAATTAATAGAATGCACTCTGTGTATCTTTTCTGGGGCAATCTGTAACCCCTACCGAGGCAGAACTTCCTTCACCATTTCAAACATACGTTCCAAAGTCTCCTTATTAGAATCTGATAAAAGAATATCATCCATGTAATGATAAACAAGAGATTGTGAAGATTTCTTACGTATTATTTCCAAAGGATACTGTACAAAGTGCTGACACAAAGTAGCACAATTTTGCATTCCGTGTGGCAAAACCCTCCACTGATATCTCCTAACTGGCTGTGAATTATTAAGAGTTGGTACAGTAAATACAAATTTTTCTCTATCATTTTCCTGTAACGGTATTGTGAAAAAACAGTCTTTCAGATCTATGACTATGATCGGCCATCCTTTAGGTATCAAGGAAGGCAACGGCATTCCAGGCTATAGAGAGCCCATTGATTGAATAACCTTATTTATGGCTCTCAGGTCTGTCAGCATTCTCCACTTACCTGACTTGTTTTTGATAACAAATAAAGGAGAATTCCAAGGGCTGGTAGATTCCTCTATGTGTCCAGCCTCTAACTGTTCCTGTACTAACTTTTCTAAAGCCTCTAGCTTCTCAGAGGTCATAGACCATTGTCCTACCCAAACAGGTTCATCTATAAGCCACTTCAATGGCAGGGTCTTTGGCTCCTCTGAAGGTCTATCATTTGTACCTAGTTTCTGTACAGCCTGGATGATTGGTTGTGGAGATTGCTCAGGCATGCTCTGAATGGAGATGCCCAGGTGGAAATGGTGAGGCCTGGAATCTGGCAGAAGTTTTACTTCCCAACCCACCTGCCCTGTATCTACCCTGAAAAAGGAGCACTTGCCATGAGATCTGACAACTCCGTTTCTGTCCTTTGGGACACTTTTTCCTCTGTTAGTTTGTTTCCTTATCTGTTGTGAAAACAGTCTGTCACATTCAACAAGGCTATTTTCAACCCATAGCATGCAATGTCAGTTTTGAAACTGCAAGGAAAATAATAAACTTTCCTTCTCAGGCCTTGGCATGTCCCTTTCCATTCTGTCCTGTGTTGTACACAGTCACTACAAGGAAGAAACCACACTTACTTCTCAGGAACCAGTTAGAACTAATTGTAGTATCAAAGTACTGGTGGGAGGACAAGGGAAACAGAGAACTGGGAAATCAAGAGAGAAAACAAATAAATGATGGGAAGAACAAATGGAAATAGTTTATCAGTTATCTCAAATTCTCATGGTCCAGCCCAGCCAACTGCCAATCACAAATGTTAGTGTGCTAGAAATGTATAATATAATAGAGTTTTGTATGGCATGTTTGGATTCTGGGTTCAATTCCCAGCAACATCAATGTATTGAATGTATAGAAACATTTACTTGTGGCTTTACTGAAATGGAGTATAGAAATTATTTTCCCAAACTCAGGGTACTCTGATTAAACAGTAGAATATGGACTCGAGTGGCTCCTGGCAACAGAGGGCAGCAAAGGAAAGGCAAGTAGAGGGTCCTGCAGAGAGAGCTTACCCTCAGAACTCCAGGAACTATCAAATGGTTTTTCACATCAATGTGGGGCAGCTATGAGAGACCAGAGAGAAGGCTGCTAGAAGAGGAACTGAGTTTTCCCTGAGCCTGAGGTGACAGGATCAAGGGCAGCTTCAGGTAAAGAAGGCTTTCCATGGTGAACTTCCAATGTATGAAAGCAGCAACCAAGAGGAGTAGAGAGCATGGTCTCCTCTCATCCAGGCATTGCTAGACACTAATGTATTCTGAAAAGTACTCTTGAGTGCTCCTTCAAAAATACGCCTGATGTCACCTGGAGTCCCAGCAGAACACATTCATTAAAATCACAAGATGTTCAAGAATGCTAGTGGTGAACAAAGCAGCTGTACCAATGTAACAAAATTTAGCTAATAAAACCATAGACATACGCTGAGCTGCTACCATGCTTATTGTTATTGACACTGAGCTAGTAAAAGAAAAAAGAAAGCAGGGCATGGTGGCACATGCCGTCAATCCCAGTACTTGGGAAGTAGAGACATACAAGATCTCTGTGAGTTCCATGACAGGCTGATCTACATGATGTGTTCCAGGACAACCAGGACTGAAACATTGTCTCAAAACAAACAAACAAACAAAATTGAAAAAGAAATAGAAGAAAGAAAAAGAAATAAAATAAAATAAAGACACCAACATGCATTAGGAGTTTTCACAGCATAAAACACTTTCTGGGACTACATTCCACAACTGTTATTAAAGGTAAAATAAGATGGGATAGCCATTGTTTAGATGCAGACCAGTGCCACAGAAGCTGAAGATGAATAAACATCTTCAAATGTTTGGGGAAATTGCTAGAAATTTCAGGGCACCGATGATCCTTCAAGAAGAGGCCCAGAAGTTCTACAAGGTGAGTGATACAGTTCTCAGAAGGGATACCAGGTCCCTCTCACCTGAGACCATCATAAAACATTTGCTTATTGGTCCAGGGTTTGAATAAGATTGGAAATTTTTTCTCCCTCTATGTTGGTTCTATTTTGTTCAAATAGAAGGCAACAGAATGGTTTTTCTTCTTCCTGTGACTGCATCTCTGCATGATCCTTGTGATGGGACAAGAACCCCTGACGTGGTGACAGAGTCACACTAAAGTCTGCACCCAGTAAGCATTGTTGGACAGAGACATTAGCAGTTTACCATGGGAGAGAAAAAAAGAATTCTCAGAAATAAAAGAACACAAAAGCAATTAGGAAATAGAGGGCAGTTGCACTAATATTGAAACTAATCCAAGTCTAGGGATCTAGAATACGAGGCTCCCATACACTAAGCCCTGGGTTCCATCCCCAGCACTTCATATATTAGGCATGATTACGCACAACTGTGACCCCAGCACTCAGGAGGTGCAGACAAGAGGATCAGAAGTACAAGGTCATCCTCATAGCAAGTTAAAGGTCGTCCTAGGTGACATGAGATCCTGTCTTTAAAAACATTATGGCAAGCTCCAGGGGAAGAAAGCACATATACGCAAGTTCTAGTAATGCCCCTAAATAGTACACAAGGTTCCTGTGATAGTGGTTTTGGTTGTCAACTTGACTGATTTGATGGATTCCTAAAGCATTTGGTAATGTAAACCATGGAAACATATCTGTGAGGGTTTCCTGAGTTGTGCATGCAGATCCTTGGAGGGGGAACCCACCCAGAAGGCAGGTGGAGCCATACAGCAGCCTGGGGTGAACTAAAGGGTGGGAGGACAAGCGCATAGGAGGACAGACTTAACTCTGCTGGGTGAGGAGCAGGTGTTTGTGCAATTTTTTTCTGATGCCAATGACCATAGAAGACCATCAGGCAGCAGAGTCTCCACCTATGAACATGGACTTGTGTCAACAACTCCCTGGATGCTTTCAGGTCTTCTCCTAGGATTCAGGTTGGGTAATTAATTGGTCCCATATCTTTTGACTTCCAACTTCTTGGCCTGAGAAGCAACTGATTTTCTAGATCTCTAAAGTGTGGAGCCAATGGGGGACAAATAGTCTCTGACTGTAAACGCCAATGTACGCGTTTATTAAATCGCCTGCTGTGTGTGTGATATTGATTCTGTCCCCTAGGAAACCTCACCTCATATTTTTCTGTATAGGGAGAACAAAAGCAGAATGTGCCTCCCTTTTAGATTCCATTAAAAGAATCTCTGACCCTCAAAGACAGTGAAATCAGCATTTACAGACTGTCGACACAAGAGAACCAAAGTCCTGAACAAAACACATGAATGAGAATGAGTGTTTCAATAAAGTAGAAGGTAAAAAGAGGCCAGCCTGGTCTCCAGAGAGAGTGCCAGGATAGGCTCCAAAGATACACAGAGAAACCCTGTCTCCAAAAGCCAAAAAAATAAAAAATAAAAAAATAAAAAAAGTTGAGGAAACAGCTTTGATCAGTGACTGGCTGGTTCAGTATCTGGTTAGGGCCCACTTCCTGGTTTACACATAGCTGTCTCCTCCCTGTTTCCCTACTTAGCAGAACAGGTGGGGTTGTATCTCTGCATTCTTTCTTGTTAGGTCACTGATCTCACCTATCCAGTGTCCTTCAGATTAGGAAAGGAGTCAACCACCTCTATCTAATCACCTCCAAATATCCTCCAAAGACAAACAACAGAAACCAAACTGAAACTGATTTCAGCAAAAGAGAGGAAGCTGTTGGCTTTTAAATTATAGGGAATTTAAAGGGTGAGTCTGCCTTCCTGATTGGCTGGATTGCCTTGAATAGCAGATGTCCATGGGCTCTGTTCTCAAATTTGGCTGTGCTGTCCTTTATACTAGCATTTTCTTTTTTATTTTAATTAGATTATTTTACATGTTAATTCCAGGTCCCTCTCTCTCCCCTCTGCCCCTGCCCACCCCACACAACTAACACCCTACATATCCCATAACCTTTCTGCTCCCCACAGAAGTTGAGGCCTTCTGTAGGGGGTCTTCAAAGTCTGTCATATCCTTTGGGATAGGGACTAGGACAACCCCCTTGTGTCTAGGCTCAGGGAGTATCCCTCCATGTGGGATGGGCACCCAAAGACCATTCCTATGCTAGGGATAAGTAATGATTCACTACAAGGGGCCCCATAGATTCCCAAGACTCCTCACTGACAATCATACTCATGGGGGTCTGGATCTGTCCCATGCTGGCTTTCCAGTGATCAATCTGGGGACTAACAGCTCTCCCTTGTTCAGGTCAGCTGTTTCTGTGGGTTTCACCAGCCTGGTATGGACCTCTATGCTCATCAGTCCTCCTCCTCTGCAACTGGATTTCAGTTCAGTTCAAGTTTAGCTGTGGGTGTCTGCTTCTACTGCCACTAGCTGCTGGATGAAGGCTATACAACGGCATATGAATTAGTCATCAATCTCATTATCAGGAGAGGGCATTTAAAGTAGCCTCTCCTCTGTTGCTTAGATTGTTAGCTGGTGTCATCTTTGTAGATCTCCAGACATTTTCCTAGTGCCTGATTTCTCTTTAAACGTATAATGCCATTTATCTTGCTCTCATTTGTTCTTCCCCCAACTCAAACTCCCTGCCCCATCATGCCTTCCTCATCCCCTTTTCTCCCCTTCTCATTCTCCTAGTTCCCTCTCCCCTCCCCCCATGCTCCCAATTTGCTCAGGAGATCTTGTCCCTTTCCCCTTTTCCAGGGGACCATGTATGTCTCTCCTAGGGTCCTCCTTGTTTACTAACTTCTCTGGCAGTGTGGATTGTAGGCTGGTAATCCTTTACTCTATGTCTAAAATCCACATATGAGTGAGTACACACCATGTTTGTCGTTTTGTGTCTGGGTTACCTCGCTCAGAATGGTTTCTTCGAGTTCCATCCATTTTCCTGCAAATTTCAAGATTCCATTGAAACCCCCCCCCCCAGTAATACTCCATTGTGTAAATGCACCACATTCTCTCCATCCATTCTTCAGGTGAGGGGCATCTAGGTTGCTTCCAGGTTCTGGCTATTACAACACTGCTATGAACATAGTTGAACACATGTCCTTGTTGTATGAATGGCTTTTGGGTACATGCCTAAGAGTAGAATTGCTGGATCTTGTGGTAGACTTATTCCTATTTTCCCGAGGAATTGCCATACTGATTTCCAAAGTGGCTGTACAAGTTGGCACTCCTAGCAAAAGTGGAGGAGTGTTCTCCTTTCTCCACCTCCTCTCCAGTATAAACTGTCATTTGTGTTTTTGATTTTAGCCATTCTGACAGGTATCAGATGATATCTCAGAGTTGTTTGATTTGCATTTCCCTGATGGCTAAGGATGTTGAACACTTTCTTATGTGTCTTTCAGCCATTTTAGATTCCTCTATTGAGAATTGTCTATTTAGTTCTGTACCCCACTTTTTAATTGGATTATTTCGTGTTTTGTAGACTAGCTTCTTGAGTTACTTGTAAATTTTGGAGGTCAGCCCTCTGTCGGATGTGGAGTTAGTGAATATCTTTTCCCTATCCGTGGGCTGTCATTTTGTCCTGTTGACTGTTGCCTTTGCCTTACAGAAGCTTCTCAGTTTCAGGTGGTCCCATTTATTAATTGTTGATCTCAGTGCCTGTGCTCCTGGTGTAATGTTCACGAAGCGGTCTCCTGTACCAATTTGTTCAAGGGTATTTCCTACATTTTCTTCTATTAAGTTCAGTGTGGCTGTATTTCTGTTGAGATCTTTGATCCATTTGGACTTAACTTTTGTACATGGCAATAGATGTGGATCTATCTGCAGTCTTCTACATGCCAGCATCCAGTTATGCCAGCGCAATTTGTTGAAGATGATTTCTTTATTCCATTGTATAGCTTTAGCTTCTTTGTCAAAAACCAGGTGTTTGTAGGTGTGCGGGTTAATATCAGGGTTTTCAACTCGATTCCATTGGTCTAACTGTATTTTTGTGCCAATACCAAGCTATTTTCAGGACTATAGCTCTATAATAGAGCTTGAAATCTGGGATGGTGAGGCCTCTGGAAGTTCTTTTATTGTATGGGGTTGTTTGGCTATCCTGAGTCTTTTGTTTTTCCATTTAAGTTGAGAGTTGTTTTTTTCAAGGTCTGTGAAGAATTGTGCTGGGATTTTGATGGGGATTGCATTGAATCTGTAGATTGCTTTTGGCACTCCTACCTATCCAAGAACATGGGAGATCCTTCCATTTTCTGGTATCTTCTTTAACTTCTTTCTTTAAAGACTCAAAATTCTTATGATACAGGTCTTTCACTTTTTGGTTAGCATTACCCCAAAGTATTTTATGTTGTTTGTGGCAATTGTAAAGGGTAATGTTTCTCTGATTTCTTTCTCCACAAATGTAACATATGTATACAGTAGAGTACAGATTTTTTTCTAGTTAATTTTTATCCTGCCACTTTGCTGAAGGTGTTTATCAGCTGTAGGAGTTCCCTGGTAGAGTTTTTTGGGTCACTTATGTAGACTATCATATCATCTGCAAACAGTGAAAGCTTGACTTCTTCCTTTCCAATTTATATCCAATTGATCTCCTTTTGTTGTCTTATTGCTCTAGCTAGAACTTCAAGGACAATATTGAAGAGATATGGAGAGAGTGGACAGCCTTGTCTTATTCCTGATTTTAGAGGAGTTGCCTTGAGTTTCTCTCCATTTAGTTTGATGTTGGCTGTTGGCTTGCTGTATATTGCTTTTATTATGTTGAGGTATGTTCCTGTTATTCCTGATTTCTCCAGGACCTTAATCATGAAAGGGTGTTGGATTTTGCCAAAGGCTTTTTCAGCATCTAGTGAGATGAACATGTGGTTTTTCTTCTTCAGTTGGTGTATATGGTGGATTACATTGATGGATTTTTGAATGTTGTACCAACCCTGCATCCCACGGATGAAGCCTACTTGATCATGGTGGATGATTTTTCCGATATGTCTTGGATTCGGTTTGTCAGTATTTTTTGAATATTTTTGCATCTATGTTCATGAGGGATATTGGTCTGTAGTTCTCTTTCTTAGTTGTGTCTATGTGTGGCTTGGGTCCCAAGGTAATTGTTGCCTGATAAAAAGAGTTTGGTAATGAACCGTCTTCTTCTATTGTGTGCAAAAATTTGAGGAGTACTGGTATTAGCTCTTCTCTGAATTTCTGGTAGAATTCTTCAGTGAAGCCATCTGGCCCTGGGCTTTTTTTTTGTTGGGAGACTTTTCATGACTGCTTCTATTTTTTTAGAGTTTATAGATCTGTTTTATCTCTTCTTGATTCAAATTTGGTAAGTTATATCTGTCCAGAAAATTGTCCATTTCCTTTAAATTATCCAATTTTGTGGAGTACAGGTTTTCAATGTATGATCTGAAGATTCTCTGGATTTCCCCAGTGTCCATTGTTATGTCCCCCTTTTCATTTCTGATTTTGTTAATTTTCATGTTCTCTCTCTTCCTTTTGGTTAGTTTGGATAAAGGATTGTCTATCTTGTTGATTTTCTCAAAGAACCAACTCTTTGTTAAATTGATTCTTTGAATTGTTTTCTTTGTTTCAACTTTATTGATTTCTGTCCTCAGTTTGATTATTTACTGGAGTCTACTCCTCCGGGGTGAATTTGCTTCCATTTGTTCTAGAGCTTTCAGCTGTGATGTCAACTCTCTGGTGTGACTATTCTCTAGTTTCTTCATGTGAGCACTTAGGGCTCTGAACTTTCCGCTTAGTACTGCTTTCAAAGTGCCCCATAAGTTTGGGTATGTTGTGTCTTCATTTTCATTGAATTCTAGGAAGTCTTTAATTTCTTTTTTTATTTCTTCCTTGACCCAGGAATGGTGCAATTGCGTGTTATTCAATTTCCGTGAGTTAGTAGGTTTTCTGCAATTTGTGTTGTTTTTGAATTCTAACTTTAAATCATGGTGGTCTGATAAGACACAGGGGTTATTCCAATTTTTTGTACCTGTTGAGGTTTGCTATGTTGCCAAGTATGTGGTTGATTTTAGAGAAGGTTCCATGTGATCCTGAAAAGAAGTGTGTTTGGATGGAATGTTCTATAAATGTCTGTTAATCCCAATTGGGTCATAACTTCTGTTAGTTCCTTTATCTCTTTGTTAAGTTTTTGTCTGGTGTTCCTGTCGAAAGGTGAGAGTTGGGTGTTGAAGTCTCCCACTATAACTGTGTGAGGTCTCATTTGTGATTTGAGATTTAATTATGGTTTCTTTTATGAACATTGTTGCCTTTGTATTTTGGGCATAGTTGTTTAGAATTGAGACTACTTCCTGATGGATTTTTTCCTGTGATGAATATGAAATGACCTTCTTCATCTCTTTGGATTGATTTTAGTTTGAAGTCTAATTTGTTAGATACTAGGATAACTAGCCCAGCTTGGTTTTTGGGTCCCTTTGATAGGAATATTTTATGCCAACCCTTTACTCTGAGGTTATGTCTGTCTTTAATTTGAGGTGTGTTTCTTGTATTCAGCAGAAGGATGGATTCTGTGTTTGTATCCACTTTGTTAGTCTGTGTCTTTTTATAGGCAAGTTAAGACCTTCAATATTGAGGGAAATTAAGGACTATTAAGTGCTTATTCTTGTTTGTTTTTGATTTGTTGTTGGTAGTGGTATTGTGTGTAGATTTACCCTGCTTTTTCTTTTGGGTTTTGGTAAAGTGGGATTATTTATTGCCTATGTTTTTGTGAGTGTAGTTAATTTACTTAGGCAGATGTTTTCCTTCCAGTACTTTCTGTAGGGCTGGATCAGTGGTTGCACATTGTTTAAATATGGTTTTGTCATGGAATATCGTGTTTTCTCCATTTATACTGATTGAAAGTTTTGCCGCGTATAATAGTCTGGGCTGTCATCCATGTTCTCTTAGAGTTGGTAGAATATCTATCCAGGTCCTTCTGGCTTTCAGAGTTTCCATGGAGAAATCTGGTGTAATTATGATAGGTTTTCCTTTATATGTTACTTGGCCTTCTCCTTTGCTGCTCTTAATATTCTTTATTATGTGATGAGGGGACTTTCTTTTATGGTCCACTTTTTTTGGTGTTCTGTAGGCTTCTTGTACTTTCATCAGCATGTCTTTCTTTAGGTTCGGAAAGTTTCCTTCTACGATTTTGTTGAATATGTTTTTTGCACCTTTGAGTTGGGTTTCTTCACCTTCTTCTATACCTATTATCCTTAGGTTTGGTCTTTTCATGGTGTCCCATATTTCCTGGATATTTTGTGTTAAGGATTTGTTGGACTTAAGATTTTCTTTGCTTGATGAATTTATTTCCTCTAGTTTATCTTCAGTGTCCGAGATTCCGTCTTCTATCTCTTGTATTCTGTTGGTTATGCTTGCACCTGTGGTTCCTGATTGTTTACTCAACTTTTCCACTTCCAGCATTCCCTCAGTTTGTGTTTTCTTTATTGTCTCTAATTCAGTTTTCAGGTCCTGAACTGTTTCCTTCAGCTGTTTAATTGTATTTCCGTGGCTTTCCTTGATTTCTTGCATCTTTTGGTTTGTCTTTTCTTCCATTTCTCTGAAGGATTTTCTCATTTCCTCTCTTAGGGTCTTTCTGTCATCTGCATGAAGTTGTTTTTAAGGTTGCTCTCTTCTGCTTCTTCTGTGTTGGGATGTTCAGGTCTTGCTCTAGACTCTTGTGGTGTCATATTGGTTTTCCTGTTGTTGGATGTGTTCTTATAATGTTGACTTTCCATCTCTTCTTCCAGAGGGTGCAGGTGGTGTCTCTTCCTTTCCCCATGTGTATGGGTCTAAGGTTCTCTTCAGGTGGGTGCAATTGGCTCATATAGTATGTTGAGTCTTTAGGTGGGTGCAGGCTGGTTCTAGGCACTGGCTCTTTCGGTGGTTGGGAGCTGGAAAAGCTCAGAGATGTCAGCAGACTCTGGGTGCTTGGTCTTCAGGGGCCAAGTTGACCTGCCTGCAGACCCCAGGACAGGAGTTCCCAGAGTGGGCAGGAGAAAGTTGGGCCCAAGGCAGGGGATGAAGCAGATCACCTCTGCCCTACCTTGGGGCGGGAGTAGCCCAGCAATCTCAGCAGACTCAGGGTTGCTTGGTCCTCAGGGGCTGATTCAATCTGCCTGCAGACCCCAGGACCTATACTAGCATTTCTAAGTTACTGTTCTCCAGCCATTAGTAAAAACAGCTGCCAGGCTTGTCACCACCTTTTTGGCTATGGCAGAAGGAAAGCTTTCCAACCTCTCTAAGGGTTGCTTTCATTGCTCATGTGATATAAATCAGGTGTTTCTCCTCACCTGTAACTCTGGGTCAGGACAGCATTCTGGACTCATCCTTGACATGAGATCAGCCTCCCAGAATTGACATCATCCTAAGGACAGTCACTTGGCTGTTTCAGTTTGGATTCATGTCACAAAAATATGCAAGAATAATCTAAATAGAAGGAAGAGGCATAGTCCAATGTCCAAAAAGTTTCTATATTAAAATTGCCCAGATTGATAATGATAATTATGGTATCCTGAAACCTGGAGGCTTTTATGTGAACTTAGAAGTTTTATTTTAGCAGCTTAATTTGAGTGATGATATAATTTAAAAAGTCATGGGCAATTCACTCTTAAAAGGCCTTTTACTTTGTTTAGTGTTAAATCAAGGTTCAATTCACATGGAGTAACTTTATCTTTTTTATCATGTTCAACCAACACCAGGGTAAATTTTCACACAACTTAAAGGTTTCCATTAATAAGTTCTATTGATTTTTATCACTGACCTATCTATAAAAGTACAAGGGTTTTCTTGCCTCAATAGCAGCTGGACAGTGAAAATCTTTCCCTAGCAAACCTTCTCATCTCATTATAGTTCATGTTCAACAAAAATAATCTTACTTTGTTGACCGCGTCCCTCTTATGCCCAATTTGAAATGCCTTACATTTCTGCACTTGCCATTATCAGGGTTCTGTTCAGGTTCCTTATGCCCTGTTGCAGCAAATGTGGGATAGAAAAATAAGCCTATGTCTCATTCTAACTGTGGTGAAAAGGGTTAAGGAGCTTCTGGGGGTTAGAAAGACATTTCATAACCAAGAACACCATCATGCCTTGGTATTCCATTCTTGGTGACTGTTGACCTTGTGCATTCCGGTTTCTTGACCCATTCTGCAACCTCTTACATGTGTATAGGGTTTCTATCTTTATTTGCCTCACATCCACAAGTGATCAAAACTTTGGAATTTTTAAAGTAAGTTTCTTTTTAAAATCTTAACTCCAGATATGACCCAGCTGACACTTTCATTTATATATTTATATAGGTTGACTATATCAAAGGAAAATTGTGGTATAATGAAAGATGTTTTGCAAACAGAGAAAATTTTGAAGGTAAATTTTGAGACATGTTAGCAGATTTTTATCACTATTGGTTAAATATATAGATTCAATTAAATGCATTAAGTTCAAAATTGAATAAAATGTGAAAATTACTATTATATATGAATTAATGAGCTAAAACTGAGAAAGCCAGGCTCAGTAGTGATATACACTTGGTATTCCTTTAACACTCAGCAGGCAAAAACAGGAACACTGCTGGCTTGAGGCTACCCTGGACCACATACTTAACAGTTTTTCTAAAGATGAATGGGAATGTCACTCCTGCCTAAATGCAAGAGAATTGTGTCCAAAGACACATTAGTAGATGGTACAGAACTGGCATTATTATTATTATTATTATTATTATTATTATTATTATTATTGGTTTTTCGAGACAGGGTTTCTCTGTGTAGCTTTGGAGCCTATCCTGGCACTCTCTCTGGAGACCAGGCTGGCCTCAAACTCACAGAGATCTGCCTGCCTCTGCCTCCCGAGTGCTGGGATTAAAGGCGTGCGCCACCAACGCCCGGCTCAGAACTGGCATTGTTTTATGTAGGCAGCTTTATTAACACTAACACTTCCTAAGTCAATGTTATTCATATTTTCTTCACTTGTGTACTTTACAGTTGATTATGTGACTATCACTTTTGACAGAAACAGGACCCTAAGTGAGGTATGACATAGAAAACTTTGTTAAGCATGATTTCAAGAATTGTTAATCTGATGTAGTTGTCCCAACCTTAGGGACAGCAACCTAGGGCAAGGTATCCAGGGAGGGGAATGGGGACAAGAGACTAGAGAGAATGACCACAAGACAGGATTCTGATCACGTGACGAATTTTATTTTTTCCAGGCTAGCTTATATAGTCAGTAGTATGGGATAAACAGGAGGGGGAGAAGAGGCCAAGAGCTAGGTGTTAGTTCAAGCAGGATATCAGAAAACTATCGAAGGAGGATGTTGGCAGGGTGAAAAGTTCATGGGTGGTGGGTAGAGGGAGAGTTACCTAGGTAAGTGGTGGGAGACGGGAGGGTTGCTTAGGTAAGTGGGCCTGTGGTTGGAACAAAGGATTGACGTTTGGGTCATGTTGTTCCTACTGGGTGCTCATGCTTCTAGAAGCCATTTTTAATCAAAAGACTGTTCTATAACCATGTGGCTTGCCAAGTTAGGCCTAAAGGTTCATGCCAAGCTGTATGGCTCCCAATGCTCTGAAATATGGTACTTAAACACACAGAAAACTTAATGAAGTCCAGTAGTGTCTCTTTGTAGACTTAACAGCAGATACCTACTTTTGTTAAATCCAGTGATTTAATCCATACCAGAGAAGAAAGTTTCTTTGAATTCTCTTCTGAAATAGAATACACTCAGAAGAAAGGAATAGATATCAAAGAATTAAATCTATAATTGTGTGGTTGCACACAGTTGTAATTCTTTTAACCAGTAGGTGAAGGCAGAATAATCAAATTCAATATGAACTTAGATTATATATTCTAGGCCAGCATAGGTTAACATAATGAAAATGAAAGACCCCTACAGGGTGAGACCCCCGGGGCAACCCCAGTCACCAGGCAGAGGGGAGAACTTGATGCAAACAGCAAGAGTCTTTATTATTCAGCAACAGACAGGCCAGGGCCATTCTGACAGGAGTAAGATGGTATCTCAGAGTTGTTTTGATTTGCATTTCCCTGATGGCTAAGGATTTTGAACACTTTTTTATGTGTCTTTCAGCCATTTTAGAGTCTTCTATTGAGAATTGTCTATTTAGTTCTATACCCCACTTTTTAATTGGATTGTTTGGTGTTTTGGAGGCTAGCTTCTTGAGTTCTTTGTATATTTTGGAGATTAGCCCTCTGTCAGATGTGGGGTGGTGAATATCTTTTCCCAGTCTGTGGGCTGCTGTTTTGTCTTGATGACTGTGTCCTTTGCCTTATAGAAGCTTCTCAGTTTCAGGAGGTCCCATTTAACAATTGTTGATCTCAGTGTCTGTGCTCCTGGTGTAATGTTCAGGAAGTGGTCTCCTGTACCAATTAATTCAAGGGTATTTCCCACTTTGTCTTCAAATAGGGTTAGTGTGGCTGGGTTTATGTTGAGGTCTTTGATCCATTTTGACTTAAGTTTTGTGCATGGCGATAGGCTTGGGTCTATCTGTAGTCTTCTACATGTCCGAATCCAGTTATGCCAGCACCATTTGTTGAAGATGTAAAGAGAAGCTTTTAAAAAGGGCAGACCATAAGGTTGGAGACCATAAACTACAGAGTTTCCATGGTTACTTAAGGTCATACAAAGTACAGAGTTAGTTAGTGACTATACAATTTAAGGGAGATACATTTGACTGAGATAGGACAGGGGCATGGGGTTGAGGGGGGGAGGGGGGTTACAGGGTCTGTCAATTATCCCCTGGGCTGGAAAATCTTTATAACCAGCAGGACACCTTTACAACCAGCAATTACCAAAGGAATGCTAACAGGAGTGATAGATAGTCACCTCTGCTTCTCTGGGAGCAGGGCTCAGGTGCCAGCCATGGCATTCCCATCCATTAGAAGTCCCTCCTCTTTTTTTTCTTCTTTTTAGAGCCCAAGTTTTTTTAACTTTTATTAATTTTTTGATCATTCAAAAACATGTATTAAGTTCCTATCTATCTATCTATCTATCTATCTATCTATCTATCTATCTATCTATCTGTCTTTCCATAGATGTAGATGTGTGTGTGTGTGTGTGTGTGTGTGTGTATAGGGATGCATGCATGTGTGTGTGTGAGAGAGAGGCAGAGAGTGAGAGCGAGAGAGAGAGAGAGACAGAGAGAGAGAGAGACAGAGAGAGAGAGAGAGAGAGAGAGAGAGACAGAGAGAGAGATTTATATGTGACCTGTCAGAACAGCCAAATGATCCTTTGGCTTATTTTCATACAGTAACTAGTATGGTTTGTGTTTCAGAAACCATATTAACCTCTCCTCTTTTTGTAGGCCAGTGCTTGTTTTTATAGTAAAGAACCATTTCTTCAGTGGTTGCCTTGCTTATCTTCTATTTCTAAAAGTGAAAATCTTCTTCCACATGTGATAACATTTCTTATTGACCAAGAAAGTCAAACTGGAATTTATCTTTTCCATCATCGGGTAAGTCTTATAGCTCAGAGGTGTTTGCTATATTACCAAGAACTGGAAATTGATCTTAGAGGACATCATTTCCAATTTATCATGATTCCAAGCACAGAACCTTATGAAATTATTTATGTTCCATAGACTAGTTTGGAACTGAAATTTTAAAAAATTGTTTGTCATTCCAAGATAAGATAAATGTTTTCAATATGAATCTAAAGTTACTTGAAAGGGTTAGTTTAGTTGAACAATACACAAAAAGGAACCCCTTATCACAGATATAGATGTTTATTGTTGTATAGGTCTTTAACAGTGGCTATTAATTAGAATTATTCTCAGAGTCATTAGAAAATTTAGGAGTTGTTTAAGTAGCTGTTCAACACTCAGTCCTAAGGGGACATATCTGTCACCGTTCCAAATCCCATGTAACATTAAATGAGCTTCTTTTTCAGCTGAACTTTTTTTTTTTAAGACAGGGTCTCACTAGGTAGCACTGGGTATCGAGCTCACAGTGATATGCCTGCTTCTGACTATGAGTGCTAGGATTAAAGGCATGTGCTAAACTAGCTGCCTATGCTGAATACACTTTAGATCAAACTGATGTGTTCCTGGAAAAAATCAGTTACTGTTTTGAGAGATAGGTTTCAGGATAACAACAGGAGTGGAGAAGGTGGTGGTGTTGGTCCATTAAGGTATCTCTCTCAGAGACATAAGATTCCCCTGGAAAAGGGATTTAGGATAGACCTTATTTGCTGCTTCTTCTGAGTATTTGTAGGGTGTCAGAATCTTGTTCCTTTCAAGACCATGGCACAATAGAATTGGGATTTTTGTGATTTACCCATGTGTAGCATGGAAGACATAAGCATGGAGAATGGGGTCTATTTGTTTATTTTAGTAATGACTCATAAACCTCCCAATACCATTTATTATACGACTTTGAACATTTTTTTCATTTCATATACTACATCTCAGCACATATGAAACAGACAGGTAGACATAGTAGAGTAGAGTTACCAGTGATTGCTAATCTTTCCAGTTCTTTGCAGTGTTAATGGGTATTCCCCTGTCTTAATTAACTGAAATAATGAGAACTCCTAGAAATTATAACATGAACAAAGAAAAATAGAATAAATCTCATGACTTCCTTGTGTTTTATCTAGATGTCCAAAAAGACCTTTGTCTCTGTGTCAGTGTTCAAGAATGACAAACCAAACGAAGCTCAACCAAAATTTCCAAATTTCCTATTTCCTTCCTCATTCTCAAATCCAGTTGGAATGGTGTTCCATCCCCGAAGCCACTTTCTATATGTTTATGGAAATCAGGTATGCTGCCAGAATTTATTCTTATCGAATAAGAGTAAGGAGGCTACCTTGTGTAGACTGAGTGGTTATGCCCATAAAGAACAGGAGTAACCTGCTGATCCAGAGGGTTGAGGTAAAAGGGAAGACAACACACACTTATCAACTGTTCATTGGTGCTAAGTTCTAAAATGAGCATGGGGCACCATGGTTCTGAATATTGCCAGGTGTAATCCATTTCTTTACAGCGAACAACATAGATTTTGTTATTAATCCCTCAAAAAGTATGATGTTCTCCATTCTTGGGCCTCTAGACAGACAATTCTATCATGAACATCCTGAAGGCCTTGTAAAGCTTACAAAACACCTCTGGTCATGAGCCAAGTGAAAAGTAAGGCACACAAAATATAACACACGGAGAAATTCAGTACCAAGAAAGCACTGTGGTGACTTCCAGGCAATGCATTCAGTTCACTTTCACAGTGAGATTTCTCCCCTAGAAATGTGAAGCTTAGTCAAGACAGAGAACAGTTTATCTGTGAGGTTCTGAGATGCACGTGACAGGTTACAGTTTTATTTCAAAGATAGGAGTTCCTCAATCACTAACTTCAAAGTATGATTTCTATTTGGATAGAAAGTGGCTAAAGACTCCAGAGATTGGCAGTTTGATCTAGAATTTCTGTTCACTTGCTGACTATCACAGAACATCTATGGCTTATGAATACCTCCCTCTAGCAATCACACATATGGAAAGACAATCAGTGCCAATCTAAACTCGCTGAAAACCATCAGGGGAGCAAAGCACAGTGGCTCTGCCTGCAATCCCAACCATCTGGGGGCTTAGGGAATTGGATTGCTGTCAGTCCAAGGCCAGTTTTGGCTCTAGTGTGATCTGTCTCAAAGTAAAACAACTTGGGCAACTCACAAGGCCTAACAAAAGATGTTCAGGTTGATGTTTAGCACCTTACCTCATTGTTAATTCATTCAGTCTTTCTCACCTTGAATAACACATACTTTGTTTCTGCTGAGTCTGTGCAAATGTAGTGTATGCATGCATAAAAACCATCTGTTATTTAACAGGGCTTATGATTTCTTGGCTTAGAGTCTCTACTGTGTAGAGAATTGGAGATGTATAAAGGTGACATCCTGGTATTAGGGCTTCTTCAGATGCCCTTATTTTAGTTCCTATACTAACAGTTCAGAATCTCTGATTTCTCTTCTGGCCATTGACTTCTTTTTCCCCACACCTCCTGCTGTGTCTAGATTGCTTCACACATTCTTTAGGCAAATATCTCACGTTTCTGAGCTTGCTTTCTTCTCAATCTCTGGCCCATGAACTTTTCTCTCTTATTACCCTGATTCTAAGACATCAGTTTTCTCTCACCATTTTGCCAATGTGAATGCTTTATAGTTTTGTGTGATAGAATTCTTAGGCGATGGACAGAAAACTGATTTTGGAAGAGTTTACTGTACCTGTCAGATTTGACGGCTAGAAAGCATGTAAATCAGGAAGATTGCCAATAGACTCTATGATTCAAAGTTTTGTATGTGTATTTTGACTATGGGCAATAACAGTTGGAATTGAAGTGAAAAGGCTTAAGATGGTGTTCAACAAAACTAGTCTAAGAAATGAGCAGAATATCATTCCTCATAGTGGGCTGAGGAATTAAGAGACCAAACAATCAGGGCAATTTTTGTGGAAACAAATATACAATGGTTAATAATGACGAGATTTTAAGAGTGCTGGCAGAAAGAAAGGTGCTGTTAACAAAGCTCCGGAGAGGATGGTGCTTATATTGGGAATCAAAGATCTTGGTGTGTTACTAGTCACTTGGGCTTGTCCTTGCATTTTGTCTTTCTTTGAGACAGTTTCTTACATTCTACTCCAGGCCAGCCTGGACTTCACTACATAGCCCAAGCTAGTCTTGAACTTGCCTGTCTCAGGCTCCCAAGTGCTAGAGTTATAGAATTGTACCTCTATTCCCAGCTTAGAGAAATGAAAGACACCATGTAGACTCCAAAACATTTAAAGAATACAAGAAAAAGGGTGCACAATGGAGGGGAGTATTAAAAATAACAATAATGAAAGAATTTGTACAAAGTATTTCCAAAAGGAAAACCCAAGAGCTCAAAAGAGAGATGACACAAAGAGGGATTTCACTGAAGTGAAAATAGAAGCAAACATGAAGAGATTGTACAGTTCCTATGTGTCAGAAAAGTACATGTCAGAAATGCTGTATGTAGCCACTGGGAAGATGACTCAGCTGGTTTCACTTGCCCCGAGAGTAGGAGGACCTAAGTTCAAACCCCAATAGCAGTGTAAAAGGCTGAGCTTGACTGTACATATCTATAACAACTGCATTCAGGCGTAGAAACAGACAGATCCAGCGAGCTCACTGGACAGCCAATGTGTCCAAAGCAATAAACTATCTGTTCAATAAAAGTCTCTGTCTCAATAAAGTAGAGCGCACAATAGAGGAATTCACTCAATGTCATCCTGTAGTCTTCCCATGAATGTAACACACACACACACACACACACACACACACACACACACCAGAGAGAGAGGAGGGAGGGAGGGAGGGAGGGAGGGAGAGAGAATGAGAATACAATATCACTCAGCCACTTAGGTGACCTAGTTACTTCTGGGAATAGAAAACTTTGGAAGGGTAAATCAAGTGTGTATGTGGAAAGTAGTCAGTGTGTGCCTGAGTTCATGATGGACATTGAGATGTGAAGAAAATAGTACTGCATGCTTTTGCTTTGTAGGAAGATCAGGCTAATAGGTAATTTGGAAAATTAGAGGCCCTTGTTAGTGAGGTATTAATCTCTATGTTCCTTTAGGTATGGCTTTCTATGGATGGTGGCAATTCTTTTGACTTACTATGTGACTTTCAAATTAACTTTGTAAAGAAGACTGCTCATAGTTTTTATTCTTCAGATATATCTTTTATTACACAAAGTGGGAGGATTTACATGACAAAGGCAGGTAAGAAATTTTGTATTTGGGGTTGTAAGTTCATTCTACAAGTGTATCAGAAATGTATAAGCTGTTTGAAAAGCATGTTGTATTAATCAACTAATAGTAAGGCCTCAAATATAGTGGCAATGCATTTGTTGGATCTACAGGGACAAATCTCATAAACAGACAGAAAAAAGAAGTAGCCTGGGGCTAGCATTCTGTGTTCTCAGTACTGTTTGCTTTTGCCAAACCAAATAACAACACACACCACAACAGAGATACAGTTTTGCTCCACATGTTATAGCATATCATTTAATACTCAAAACCACAATGCCAAAGTGTTTGCTTTGATTTTGCTAATAAAATAGATACAGCTTAGACCACAGAAACTTAGAAGTGGCACTGTATGAATGATTGATGTATCTCCATCTTCTTACAGTTTCTTTGATTAAGTCAACAAGGCTGTCAGTTTGTTGCACAATGAAAGCAACAGCCAGTAGTAATTGACCTAACCTACAATTGTTACTCCCTTCCAATAGAGTTGATTGCTGCAACCAGACTTGGGACCTGAGTCATGAAGTGCATGGTCCTTGTATTTCTGTATTCCTCTCATCTGCATCTTCATTTTGTCATTCTGTCACTGAGTTTTTTCAATCTTCTTCTTGTGAATTATTTTTTCCATTTTTGTTAATGATTTTAATTAAAATATGATTACATGATTTCCCCTTCCCTGCCTTTCCTCTAACCGCCCCCCCCCTATGCCTCCCTTTTTCTCTCAAATTCATATCTTCCTTTCATTAATTGTTGTGAAATATATGTGGTCACTGCCACTGCCAGCTGCATGGGGCACGAATTTACGACCTTGAGATTAAGAGTCTCATGCGCTACCGACTGAGCTAGCTGGGCCTCTTGAAAAGAGCTCTGCAGTTTTTTCCACGTATGCTGAGTCAGTAAACCTCTCCTAAAGGAACTGCTTCAGTCTCTGCTTGTCTCTAGCAAAACAGAGACCACCTGAGAAAATGCTGCTACTAAGAAGTCATACTTTTCTCTGTTCTTTTGCTTCTAAAATCCCCTTTTAAGCTTTTGTTAAGTTTACATGGAAGTTTGTAACATTACCACCAGCTGCCCGGGTTCTGCTGCTGCTTGACTAGATGCAGGAAGGCAGCTTGTGGTGCTCGTGGCAGCAGGTTCACCACTTCCTCTGGGAACCTCGGGGCATGGGGTGATCCCACCACTGCCACCATTCTGTAATGATAAGTCTTTACACCAAGCTTCCCAAGACCTGCCCCACCAGTGGGCATTTTCCAACAGCCACCCGAGTTCTACCTGCTGCCATATTAAGGTCCCAAGTAATACACAGAGATTTATATTAGTTTACAATGCTGCTGACCAATTGATTAGGATTTCTCATCTGCTGGCTCAGTCTTAATTATCAACCATAAAGACTTATCTTATTGGATGCCAGCTGCAGGCATCTTCTCTTGCCGGGATCACATGGAGGCTCCATTGAGAGAAGAGAGCAGGAGGAAGAGCAAGAGAGCGATTTCCTGCTTATATTCTGAGTCTGCCTGCTATGTCACTTCCTGCCTGGATCTCTTACTACATTTCCCAGAATCCTCCTTGACTCCTAGTCCCACTCTTAATTGGCCAACAATACTTTATTCAACAACCAATAAGATAAACATACACAGAAGGACATTCCCCACCACAGATGTATAATTGGTTAAGATTTTTTCCCATTGTGTAGGCTGCTGTTTTGTTTGAATGTTGGTGTCATTTGTCATACAAAAAGCCTTTCAGCTTCATGAGGTCCCATTTACTAATTGTTGGCCCTAGTACCTGTTCTATTAGTGTTCTATTCAGAAACTCTTTTCCTGTACCAGTGAGTTAAATCACCTACCCCACTTTCTCTTCTGTCATATTCAGGGTATCTGGTCTTATGTTGAAGTCCATGATCAATATGGAGTTGAGTTTTGTGCTGAGTAATAAATATGGATCTATTTTCATTCTTCTACATGGAGCTTTCCAGTTTGACAAGCACCATTTATTAAAGGTGCTATCTTTTCTCCACTGTGTATTTCTGGCTTCCAAATTTGTAAAAAATAGGAGTTCATAAGTCATAGAATTATGTATGGGTCTTCAACTTGATTCCATTCATCAATGTGTCTGTTTTTATACCAATACCATGTTACAGCTCTGTAGTCCAACTTGACATCTGGGATGCTGATACTTCCAGCAGTTCTTTTTTTTTAAGTATTAATTCCACTTCCCCCTCCCTCCCCTTTTCTTGCTCCCCCCTCCATCCCCTCATCCTACTCCCTATCTGCTCCTCAGAGAAGGTAAGGCCTCTCATGGGGAGTCAACAAATTCTGTCTCATTACCACATCAAGGCAGGACCAGGGCCCCTATACCTGTGTCTAGGCTGAGCAAGGTATCTCTCCATAGGAAATGGGCTCCAAAATGCCAGTTCATTTATTAGAATTAGCTCATTATCCCACTGCCAGCGGCCCCACAAACTGTACAAGCTACCCAGTGTTACATGCATTCAGGAGGTCTATTTCAGGTATCAGTTTGGAGTCACTGAGCCCCCACTAGTTTGGACCAGCTGTTTCTGTGGCTTTCCCATCATGGTCTTGACCCCTCTGTCTATATTATCACTCCTTCATCTCTTTGACTAGACTATAGGATCACAGTTCAGTGGTTAGGTGTGAATCTCTGCATCTGCTTCTATCAGTTACTGGATGAAGGTGTCAGAAATTCATTTCTATTTCCCCTTTCCTAGGCAGATCCATGCATGCCACTCTTGGGGTCCTTCTTATTACTTAGTTTCTCTGGGGTTGTAGACTGTAGGCTGGTTATCCTGGGCGTTTTTTTGGTTGGGAGACTTTTTATAACATGCCTTCTAAGGTGTGGCTTCAGGTGTGCCCAACCACACCCCTCAGGGTGTGGTGAAGGTGATGTCAGGGTGATTCGGGAGAGGTTTAAAGTGACAGACAAGGCACATGGACGCTCTCTTGCCTTGCTGCTTTTGGCACGCTCCGGCTTGCTGTTGGCTGGTGTTTATCTATTAAAAGTTATCCTAACCTTAGGGATTAGTATCAGTTATTCTTCTCAATAGTTCCATGTGGTGCTGAGAAGAATGTTTATTCTTTTGTGTTTGGATGGAGTGTTCTATAGATGTCTGATAATCCCAATTGGGTAATAACTTCTGTTAGCTCCTTTGTTCCTGTCTGGTGGTCCTGCCCAGTGGTGGGAGTGGGGTGTTGAAGTCTCCCACTATAAGTATGTGGTGTTTAATGTGTGATTTGAGTTTTAGTAATATTTCCTTTACAAATGTGGGTGCCATTTTATTGGTGTGTAGATTTTCAGAATTGAGACTTTATCTTTTTATTGCTTTTCTTTTTTCATTTGTTTATTTATTTATTTATTTATAAATTGGAAACAAGCTTCTTTTACATGTCAATCCCAGTGCCCTCTCCCACCATCCACCTACCCCCCTATCCCAACCCCTTTCTGCTTTCAGGGATGGTGAGGCCCTCCATTGGAGATCTTCAAAGTCTGTCATATTTGGATCAGGGCCTAGACCCTCCCCTATGTATCTAGGCTGAGAGAGTATCCCTCTATGTGGAGTGGGCTCCCAAAGTTCATTTCTATGCTAAGAATATATACCAATCCGCTACCAGAGGCCCCATAGATTAACCAGAACTCCAAACTTACATCGTCATCCAGGGGTCTGGAACAGTCCTATGCTGGTTTCCCAGCTATCAGTTTGGGGTCCATGAGAAACCCCTTGTTCAGGTCAGATGTTTCTGTGGGTTTCTCCGGCCTTGTCTTGACCCCTTTGCTCATCACTCCTCCCTCTCTGCAACTGGATTCCAGAGTTCAGCTCAATGTTTAGCTGTGGGTCTCTGCTTCTGCTTCCATCAACTACTGGATGAAGGCTCTAGGAAGACATTTAAGGTAGTCATCAATTTCATTATGGGAGAAGGGCTTTTAATGTAGCCTCTCTGATACTGCTTAGATGAAATTGAGTACTGTTCCTTCAAGTTCTGTGAAGAATTGTGTTGTGGATTGCATTGAATCTGTAGATTGCTTTTGTTAAGATTACCATTTTTTGCTATGTTAATACTACTGATCTAAGAGCATGGGAGATATTCCCATTTTTTGGTATCTTCTTTAATTTCTTTCTTTAAAGACTTAAAGTTCTTGTCATACAGGTCTTTCACTTGTTTGGCTAGAGTTATCCCAAGATATTTTACGTTGTTTGTGGCTATTGTAAAAGATGATATTTCACTGACTTCTTTCTCAGCCCATTTATTATTATCTGTTTATAAACGGGTTTCTTATTTTTTTTTTGAGTTAATCTTGTATCCAGCCATATTACTGAAGGTGTTTATCAGATGTGGGAGTTCCCTGGTAGAAATTTTGGGTCATGTGTGTATACTGTCTTATGATCAGTATATAGCAACAGTTTGACTTTGTCCCTTCCAATTTGTATCCCCTTGATCTCCTTTTGTTGTCTTATTGCTCTAGCTAGGACTTTGAGTAGTATATTCAATAGACATAGAGAGAGTAGACAGCTGTGTCTTGTTCCTGATTTTAGTGGGATCACATTGAGTTTCTCTCCATTTACTTTTATGTTAGCTCTTGGCTTGCTGTATATTGTTTTAGATTGTTCCCTCTGATGTCTCCAACTCCTTCATCATAAAAGGGTGTTGAATTTTATTAAGGATTTCTTAGCGTCTAATAAGATTATCATCTGATATTTTCCCTTTTTTTGTTATGTGGTGTATTACATTGACAGATTTTCTGCATCTCTGGGATGAAGCCTATTTGATCATGGTGAATGATTATTCAGATGTGTTCTTGGATTCAATTTGCCAGTATTTTGTTGAATATCTTTGGTCAATGTTCATGAGGGAGATTAGTCTGTAATTCTCTCTCTTTGTTACATCTTTGTGTTACTTGGGTATCAGGTTAACTGTAGCCTCAAAAAAATCATTTGACAATATTCCTTCTTTTCAATTATGTGTCACAATTTGAGTAGCATTGGTATTAGCTTTTCTTTGAAATTCTGATAGAACTCTGTGCTAAATCCATCTGGCCCTGGACTTTTTTTGGTGTGTGTAGGGGGTGTTGGAGATTTTTACTAGCTGTTTATATTTCCTTAGGGATTATATGTCTATTTAAATTGTTTATCTGGTCTGATTTAATTTTTAAATGTGGTACCTATCAAGAAAATTGTCCATTTATTTTAGAAATTTCCAATTTTGTAGAGTACGGATTTTTGATGCATAACCTAATGATTCTCTGGATTTCCTCAGTGTCTGTTGTTAAGTTCCCCTTTTTGTTCCTGATTATGCTAATTTGGATATTCTCTCTCTGCCTTTTGGTGAGTTTGGATAAGGGTTTGTCTATGTTAATTTTCTCAAAGAACCAACTCTTAGTTTCATTTATTCTTTGTATTGTTCTCTTTGTTTCTATTGTATTGATTTCAGTCCTCGATTTGATTATTTCCAGCCATCTACTCCTCCTGGGTGAGTTTGCTTCATTATGTTCTAGAGCTTTCAGGTGTGCTGTTAAGTCACAAGTGTGAGATTTCTCCAAATTCTTCATGTGGGCACTTAGTGCTATGAACTTTCCTTACTTAGCACTGCTTTCATAGTGTCCCTTAAGTTTGGATATGTTATGGATTCATTTTATTGGGGTCTAGGATGTATTTTTATGTCTTTATTTCTCCCTTGACCCATTCATAATTCAGATGAGAGTTGTTCAGTTTATATGAGTTTAAAGACTTTCTGTAATTCCTGTTGTTGTTGTATTCTAACTTTAAGCCATGGTGGCCAAGGGAGTTATTTGAATTTTTTATCTGTTGAGTTTTTTTTTGTGACCAAGTATTTGCTCAGTTTTAGAGAAGGTACCATGAGGTGCTAAGAAGAAGGTGTTGGGTGAAATATTCTGTAGATATCTATTAAGTCCATTTGGTTCATAATAGCTGTTGGCTCACTTGTTTCACTGTTGAGTTTCTGTCTGGCAGACATGTTCCTTGGTGAGAGTGTGTTGTTGAAATCTCCCACCATTAATTTGTGATTTAAGATTTAGTAATATTTCCTTTACAAGTATGTGTGCCATTGTACATGAGGCATACATGTTCAGAATTGAAACTTTATCTTGATGGCTTTTTCCTTTGATGAATATGAAATGTCCTCCATCTCTTTTGATTAATTTTAGTTTTAAGTCTATTTTTTTAGTTATTAGAATAGCTACATCTGGCTTGTTTCCTGGGTCCATTTTTTACTCTGAGGTAACGTCTGTCTTTAAAGTTGAGGTGTGTTTCTTGTATGCACCAGAAGAATTGATCCTGATTTTGTATCCATTCTGCTAGCCTGTATCTTTTTATAGCTGACTTGAGTCCATTGATATTAACAGAAATTAATGACCAGTGATTGTTATTTTCCATTATTTTTTGTTTTGGTAGTGGTGTGTGTGTGTGTGTGTGTGTGTGATTATGTATAAAAATATGGAACTCTTCACCAAATTGTATGTCATCCTTGCACAAGGGTCAAACTAGTTTTCTCTAGGGAATTCCAATTTTAGTATATGTGCTGCTGAGCCAAGAAGTATTTTCAAGTCTTGAACACTTTTATCTGTTTCCCTCTGTTGTTTAAACAGAGATCCTGGATTTCTTTATTTCATCTTTGAGGCCCTCTATTATTTTCATACAGGTTATATTAAGGTCTTTTCCTTGTGCTTCCAATGTTAGAATATTCACAACCTCCTGCAGTATGGGTTGCTGGGCTATATTGGAGACCTATTGTCCTGGATGTTATTGATCGTGTTTTTACACTGCCATCACATCCTTTGGGATTGGGATGTTCATAGCTCTAGGTGCTAATTTTTGTTTTTGTCTTTGTTGGGTGGGTGTTTTGTTCCTTGAGTTCTGTTTCCTCCCTGGATTCTAGGGGAGTGTGATGGTTATGTGTTGCCTGGTAGAAAATTTTCTATGGACCTCATAGCTGTGGCCACCCGGGCAAGCTTTATTTGTTAGAATACAAACAAAATATCACCAGAATGCTGGGTTTTACAACAAATACCAATAAAATTCACAAAATTGTTAGGCCTTACTTTAAAATATATATTCTACTAAACTGGAAAATGTAAAAGAAATGTTTAAATTTCTGGATATATGTATGACATACCGAAAGTAAGCCAAGATGAGATAAATAATTTGAATGTGTGTAACAAGCAGAAACTGTTGAAAATTAATAAAACTGAAGGAATAAATAGAAATCTCCTACAACAAAAAAATATCCAGCCCCAGTAGAACTGACTGGTTTATTTTACTACACCTTCCAAGGAGTGATATCAGTGCTTCCCAAACTATTCCATTAAACAGAAATGAAAAAAACATTACCCAACTTAGACTTGTTCTCTCTCACTTTTGAAAAAGTATGTAGCTGTGGTTGACATGGACTACATTACCTGTACCAGGATGGCCTTAGAATCACAGAAATATGTCTTCTGCTGCCTCCCCAATGCAGGGTTTAAAGATATGCACCTCTATGTGAAGCCTTCTCAACTCTTTTTGAAGCTAATATTACCCTGATAACAAAGCAAATAAAGACACAAAACAAAAACACCAAATTATCTGATGAACTTAGGCCAAAAAACCAAAAATCTCAAAAAAGCACTTGCAAACTATACTTAAGAAGTCATCAAAAACATTGCTCACCATTATCAAGCTGGATTTATTCCAGAGATTCTGGATTGGTTCAATATGTAAAGCTATAAATTTTGTAAATCACATAAATGGACTGTAGGTTAGAAATTACATGGTCATTAGACCATGTAAACAAAAGGTTCTTTGACAAAATCCAACATCCCTTCATGTTTAAAGTTCTAAAAATCTCAGAATACAAGGAACATAGGAACATATCAATATAATAAGGGGTACATATAACAAGCCTACAGGCAATGTGTTAAAACAATCAAAGAATCCCATTCACAGTAGCCCTGATAGGTGAAATGTATTGTAATAAATCTAACAAAGGATGTGAAGGATCTCTACAATGAGTCTTTTCATTGTAAGTCTACAATCTTATACTCTACAATGAAAACTTTAAAAAACTGAGGAATTAAATAGAGAAAAACACTAGAGAATGAAAAGGCTTCCATGCTCATGAATTGGAAGAATCACTGTTGTGAAACAGGCTGTCCTATCAAAAGCAATCTACATGTTTCATACGAGCACACTCAAAGTCCTGTAGTGGCTTCTTGCCTGTGACCTGTAACTGTGGCCACACCTGTTTGGGCATGGCTTCAAGCAGATGGAAGCAGAAAGAGGGTAGGGTGAGGCATGGTCTCTCTGTCTCATGTACTCTGTCTTGGGGCAGTGGATCTGAAGGGCAGAGAAGCACTCCCACAGTTCTTTGTTATTATTGTGTAAGTCTTCCCCAATAAACACCCCATTTATCATTTATCTTGGGTCTAGTGAAATCATAGCACCCTCGCCTTCAAACTCCGGTTCTGTTTATCACAGAAAGAGAAAAAAGCAATTTAAAATTCATAAGAAGCCCAAGAGATCCTGAGCAAACAGAAATCTAATTTGATGGTTTCAGGAAGAGAAAACACTACCAGGAAGACTAAAGCACCTTTCTTCCTTATCCCTTGACTAGACAGCCCCTTCGTTCTGTTCTACTGCCCACTTTGGTGAAGATGTTCTGTAATGAAGAGGAACTGCAAAAAAAAAAAAACTTTCCAAGGATTTAAAACAAAGTAGCATGTATTTTACTAATTTAGAAGTCTCAGAGCCCTACTCTCATCCTTTAATTTAAACAAGCAAATTTTTACAGGTATAATATAAAATTTCTTCTAGTTGTACTGGATCAGTATCAAGAGAGTTATATTTGTTTCCTGACAGGATTGGCAAGATACACTATGGGTGGAAAATGTAGTGATAAAATTTTCACAATATACTATGATTACTTGGGATTCATACACAAACTGACTCCAGAACGCTTTGAAACAGGTTCATCACCTTCAGGCACTCGAACTTTTCATCGGATTTTTGGAACGGTCAGTAACATGATGCACTGAAAGTGTTTGCCTTGTTTTGAGAACAGTTGCCACATTCTATGTGGCAGGAAAATGAATGAGACAGTGTTTTGCTTAATGCAAACACTTTTACGGTTTTAAATTGAGTGTGTGTGTGTGCAGGCTAGACATGCTGTGGCTACCCTAAAGCTGGAGTTACAGACAGTTGTGAGCCACTTGGCAGGGTCCCTGCAAACCAATCGCAGGTCCATTGCCAGAGCAAGTATGTGTTCTTAACAGCTAAGCCATATCCAGACCTATCCAGACAAACACTCTTTGCTAAAGAAAAGCTTTTTTATACGATATGAATACCTCCAAAAAATCTTCTCCAAGCCCCAAGGGTATCCTCATACAAGATTGCACAGAAAAAGTCTAAAGCAGAACTGTAACAAACATCTCAGCTCCTCGTGGAGTTTACATTCTACCATGTTGACCTTGAAGATATATAATTTTTAACTTGCCTTTTACCTTCCATGTAAAACAGTCCTGTTCCCTAGTTTATTCCTTGTTAGTGCTGACATAAAGCACAGTTGTTTTGCCCTATACAGAGGATTATAGATACATAATTTTAATATTTACAATGTATAATGTGCTATGTCTGAAGACCAGAATTTGGTATTCAGAACCCACACGATGACTCAACCATGCATAACTACAGTTCCAGATTATGCAATACACGTTTATTACCTCTTAAAGCAGCGAGTACACATTTGTGACACATATACGCAAGCTGTGCTGGTTGGGTTTTGTCAACTTGACCCAAACAGAAACATCTGGGTAGAATAATGTCTTTTGAGGAATTGCTTACATCAGACTGTCTTGGAGCCAAGTCTTTGAGGCGTTTTCTGGATTGCTGTGGGCAGTCACAGCAAGAAGCATTCTTATATGGCCTCTGCTTCCTTTTCTGCCTCCAAACTCCTGACTTATGTCCTTTCCCTAATCTTCCTTCCTGATGGACTTTAAGCTACAATCTGAAATAAGCCATTCCCTCCCCAAGTTGCTTACGGTCAGCACTAGAGAGTAAACTAGCACAGAAGGAGAGTACTTACACACTTATGATTTGAATACATATAAAGTATATATTAGTTAAAAGATCAATCTGTATACCAGGCCAAGACTAGAGGTGGAGAGGAGGGTGTTTTGTATCCTCTGTCTGAGACATGCACACAAAGGAAAGAGAGGAATTCCTTGAGGGGCGCTGCCAGCATGTTCTCTGAACTGGAGTCTGGATTCTGCAAATGTACAAAGTAGATGATGTGAGCAGTCTGCTAGAGATAACCACAAAAGCAGCCATGTCAGGATTTCACTATTGTCACAGTTTTGAGGAAGTAGAATAGCTCCCTTCAGTGGACGTTGAAATTGTTAAAATGGAGAAACCATAGGAATTCTTATACTCAGGACAAATTTGAAGAACTCTGATTCAGCATCTTTATTTCTTTCTACGAATGACACATGCATCCTCTCTGAAAAAAAAAAGCCATCACTAGCACTTTCTATGTGGCAGGCATGACTGTGAACTCTTATAACAAGTATTTGTCTTCATTTCCTTAGGAGGGAAGCAAGGCACACAGAGAGTCAATAACTACCCAGATTATGTTGGGGATGAGAATCAGGCTTTTCATTGAGGCAGTTGGTTCAGGATTGTCCTTTTAGCCACTCTATTTCCCTGTCTCTTTCATTCTTGGTGAGTACCCAAAATTCAAACACTGTGAGAAAAACGTGACAGAAAATGTTTGCTGGAGGCAGTACTTGATGGATAATACCCAAAACATACTACAGTATCTGTAACCCTCCAAACACACAAGCACACACACAGGCAAGCACATAGTAAGACACATGATCAACGCCAACAACCACTTTAAATCTACTATTCAGCTCTATATTTCCACACTAAAAGGTCCCAGAACTGATCAGTTCAGGATGAAAGAATTAGATGTCAGAAACCTAGCCAAGCATTATTTAAGGGACCTTTGTAAGTTCCATAAGTTCAAGGAAAGGGATATTCCATCAGAGACCAGAACCATGAGGCTCAAGGCACAGATCATGATACTCAGAGCAGCAGGGCTCTAAGGACAGGCCTTTAGTGGACCCTTGCTTAGTAGCACTCCGAGTAAGAACCCAGTTATGACAATATTTCTTGTGTTCAAGGTGGGGTCCCCATAGATAACACGGCTCTAAAATCTGCTTCTCCAAACTCATCCCATACACCACATACACCACCTCAACCTCCCAGGAAAGGCGCAGGAACCTCAAAAACAGGGTCTTGATTATCAGACTTCCTTTTCCTCCACTGCAGAAAACTGAGTTCTCTCTCTCTCTCTCTCTCTCTCTCTCTCTCTCTCTCTCTCTCTCTCTCTCTCTCACACACACACACACACACACACACACACAGACAGAGACAGAGAGAGACAGAGAGACAGAGAGAGACAGAGAGACAGAGAGCCAAAGAGCATAGTTATATTACTCCAATCAATAAGTAAAGCAGTATCATTTTGATATGGAGGGGAAATACATTTGCTATTTGAATTGCATTCTAATTGCAGCATCAGACACTCAACATACAATATTTCCTTTTCTCCAATTTCAGCCTCCTGATATGGGATTTGATGCTGCACTAGCACCGCAGTTTGTCTCTCCCAATGAGATGCTTTTCTTTGCGTATGTACCTCTGACTGAACCTGAACAAAGTGTATACAAGAAGAAATTAAAAAATATTCACCTTGGGAAAGTGATAAGCCACAGGTAATTGATGATTCACTCACACTTATTTAGAACACATGCTGGCTTTCAGGTTCAAAATTTCAACTGATGTTTTTGAAGGTTTTTTGGTTTAATACGTTTTTTAATGTCTTTAATGACTAAAGACATATTTGAGACAGATTTTCACATATAGTATTTGCTGGCCTAGAACTTTCTAGGTTGACCAGGTTAGAGTCTGACCTCCCAGAGATCTCCCTGCCTCTACCTCTTAATGGATTTCTCTGGCTTTTGATTATCTTTGTGACTATTAGATTGAGTTTCTCAGGTTTTCTTAAGGGAGAAAAAAATGTCTCTTAACAATGGTTATATCTTAAAGCAACCAAATTCTGCTTTATGTCTGCAATTACTTTGTGGGTGGAATTTATTTATCTTCTCAAGTGCCTTAATTATATTTCTTTTGTTTTTAAATATTTATTCTCAGTCTCTCTCTCTCTCTCTCTCTCTCTCTCTCTCTCTCTCTCTCTCTCTCTCTCTCTCTCTCTCTCTCTCTCTCTGTGTGTGTGTGTGTGTAAGCGTACCACATATGGGATCAGAGGACAACCCACAAGGATTTAACTACTGTGCCATCTTGCTGGAGGCTAATTCTGCTTAAATTAGGAAATTTAGGAAAAGGACATGTTCCTGATGCTTTTTAGTGGGTCAAGAGTTGTGTTATACTTCTCTCTTCTGTAAAATGTATTGGCCTGTGCACTACAGAGAACTGTCTTTGTTTTCTTATACAATCACTTACATCTTTCTCTTTCTAGGGAAGAAGGGCAGGGGGGTGATGAAGCTAGAGTTTGAAAGGACTAATCCTTAGATAGCACTGATTGACTGTTTGAGGCCTGTGTGTAAGTTTCTGATACCCAATCTGTGGAGAAAGTGTTTTGCTTTCCATGAAACAAAGTCCAGAAACTCCAGTGATGCAGTAGCCTGCTTCTTCTTGTTCTCTGATTCTTCCCAGGCTGCCAGTGTCTGTAGTCACTGTCTTGCCCCAGTCTTTGTCTTGAACCTTCAAATGGAAGCCATGGGGCTTTCACTGAGTATCATTTCCCTTTGCCCAAGTGTTCCAGCATTTCCAAGCTCACACATTGGCACAGACTTGGCCTTTGGCACGAATACCAATTTAGGCTCATGATTACTTTCTTGTGTCATGGTCAGCATTGTTTCATTTCCCCATGCTCTTCTGCCAAACTGGACATGATCCTGGTGTTTGGTGTTTCCTGCAAGCTGCTAATCCCACTATATTTCTGGTTAGTTCTGGCTTAGTTCATTTTCTATTGCTACTAAAGAACACTTGAAACTGGCTTTGTCTGGGTTTTTGATTGCAGCCACTAAAATATCCAAGCTAACACTTCCAACTGTGGTCAGGGCAGCGACCTTACTTGATGGTGGAAAGTAGACAGATGGACAACTGGATGCACTCCCATGATGCCAACATTTCATGTACTAGTCAGTGTTCTCTAGAGACACAGAACATATAGAATGTGGAGGGGAGCATTAGAATGGCGAACTGGCTGTGGTGTAGCTGGCCCAACAATCAATCTACCAGTGGAAGGTTCAATAATCCAGTAGTTCTTTCAGCCCACAAGACTGGGTGTCTCAGCTGCTCTTCAGTATATTCTGGAATTCCAAAGAAGTAGGCTCTAATGCCAGGAAGGAATAAACTTGCCAGTGGGAGCAAGAGCAAGCAGGGAAAAAGCTAAAGATTTTTTTCTTCCATGTTCTTTCTAAAGGCTGCAACCAGAGGGTGTGGCCTTGATTGAAGGTGTATCTTCCTACCTCCAAAGATCCAGATGTTAAAGTGCGTCTTCTCACTTCAAATTATTTAATTAAGAAAAAAGTCCCTCACTGGTGCCCAGCCACTTGGGTTTTAGTGGGTTACAAATGCAGTCAATTGACAACCAAGAACAGACATCATCTCTCCACTGAACTCAACTGCACAGCACCACTATGTGGAGGAAGAAACCCTTAGCATGAGTCTTGGTGGGCACAAATCATAGTCCAAGTATGTGGTAAGAGATGAGTTGATATTTTCTTTTCTTGTAATTGAAACAAAAACAAAAGCTTCCCTTTGTATGGTAATCCTGTATTTGCTAAATTCTTGTAATAATAATTTTGGTGCTTTTCTCCATATTTCTTTGGATGTTCCTAGTAGGCATAGATATACTTCTAAGTAAATAATCATATCACCTTCAAACAATTCCTGGTTCTTTCTTAACATTTCATAGCATATTAAACTTTTTGCTATTACAGTGTGCAGCCCTAATAATAAATATCTTAAGTAGAAGATATCTGACTTCTTTGTTGCAACTGATTTTTAAAATAACTGTTTAAACATTTTACCCTAATGTGGTCTTGTACCATGAAAATAAAAACCAAGAAACAGATATTGGGTTTCAAGCTGTAAGGTCAGAAGCAAAGCAGCCAAGCCAGTAGCTCTTACCTCTACCAAGGCTGGAGCAATCCTGCCCTCAACATGGCTGGAGACAAATTGCCCTAACATGGCTGGAGACCAAAATGCCCCAGACTGAATTTCTGCTCCTATCTTATTTATCTCAAGTACTGGATCACCTTTATGTGAGCTGATTCTCTTTTAGATTGGATCAATTTCATGTAGCTCAGTGTGGCATTGAACTAACAGAGAACCATCTGCTGCAACTGATAACTTACTCAGACATAGCTTCACACAGTATTTATAATTCATGGCAGGGTTCACCATTTTTGAGAGAGGAAATTGCTGTATATCCCAAAGCTGACCTCAAACCCTCAATCCTCCTGAGTGATAAATTAACAGGCATGTGCCACTGAGCCCACCCCAGGGTTCATTCTTGATGCCCATTCTCGGTGTTGGAACAAATATATGGTAACATTATAGTACATATGTAATAGTCTTGGTGTACTAAAATTCCACTCTGTCTAGTCTAGTAACCATAGCCTCCCCAGCTCTGGGCAACATTTTTGTTATTGTTGTTGTTGCTGTCTCCTTAGTTTTACCTTTTCTAGAATGCCACACAATTGGAGTTACACAGCCTTTTGAGATTTTCTTTTTCCTCTTTAAGAATGCCTATAAGATTCCTATTACCCTGCTTAAACAAGATCGGAATAATTATTACATCCCTAGACATCCTAACATAGAAGGGGAAATTTGATAGGGCCCCATCAATAAATAAAGAACTAGAGGCAACCACTGTGTGCTGAGAGCTGGGGCAAGAGAATTCCTAGGGCATGAGCCCCTTCATTGGTTATCCAATACCAAGTTGTCAGTCCCAAAATCATGTACACACTAACTGCACTAAGCAGATTTGTACATATATAATATACATATTATAATATGTATATACATATAATATACATATATTATATGTATATACATATAATATACACATATTATACATATATACATATAATATACATATATATAATATACATATACATACTCTCTCTCTCTCTTTCTATATATATATATATCAAGAGAAAAACAGGTAATGAATTTGAAAAGGTACAAGATGAGGGAGGAGCTGACATGGAGAATTTGGAGAGAGGGAACGAAAGTGGGAAGTGATTTAACTATATTTTAATTTAAAAAATTAAAAGATACCTATTATCTTCTAATTGCTTGATAATTATTTAGTGATGAATAGTAATCCACTGTCTGTTTGAAACGCAGTTCATATAAATATTCACCCATTGTTTTAAATTATTTTTATTGTTTTACGGACGGGCATCTAACTGTGCACTATGTGTATCCCAGTGCCCGTGGAGGCCAGAAGAGGGCTTTGACTCTCCCGGAACTCGAGTTACAATGGTTGTGAGCTGCCATTTGGATTCTGGGAATGAGAGCTGGTCCTCTGCAAGAGCAGCCAGTGCTCTTAAACACTGAGCATCTCCCCAGCCCCAACCTATTCACCAACTGAAAGACTTGCCAGTTCATCCCCAAGATCAAAATGCTGGTAGTATCCACACGCAGGCTGTGGTGTAGACATGCCCTTTCACTTCACTTGGGTAAATACCTAGGAATATTGCATATGGTAGGAATATGTTTGAGATTAAAAGAAGCCGCCTAACTCCCCATACCTTTCTACATTCCCACCAGCAATAAATTAGAATTTCTTTCATACATCCTTACCAACATTTGGCATTGTTAGTGTTTAGGGTTTTGTTATTTTACTTTCCAGTTACCTGTTGCTGTAGGATGTATGCATGATGTGTTGCTCTCTCTCTCTCTCTCTCTCTCTCTCTCTCTCTGTGTGTGTGTGTGTGTGTGTGTGTGTGTGTGTGTGTGTGTGCTTGAACCCATCTCCCCAGTGCTTGGATTACTAGACCTCTCTACCTTACTCTGGGTGTGCTCTCTTTCTTTTCTTCTTGCTCTCCACTCTACTTTCATGGCCATTTTCAATCTGGACCCTTCCAGATGACTCTTATTCTCTCCCTCTTATTTCCAATATATCTTCTGCATCACTCCTAGGGGCAGTTATGTCCTCAATTTAAATTTTTTTTCTTGAAATGTAGTGTGTAAAATTGCTTCTACAAAATCTGCCTTAATTTACAGTCATAGCAGGATTGAATGTGCATCTATTTCCATTCAAGTATCATCTCTGCGGAACTCTGACATTTAAAAATATTTATAGGCTGGGCGTGAGGATCATGCCTAACATTCATGAAGTTCTAGGTTTGATCCCCAGGAATAAAAAGATAATAGCTTGCTAGCTAGATCAATGACAGGTAGACAGTGGATAGATAGATGATAAATAAATAAATAGATAATCTTTATCCATTTAAAATGAAAATTTATGTTGTATATACCATTTTGTTGACAACTAAAAACTTTCAACAACTGTTGTCCAAATAGTCATTTGTTAGCTGGTATATTATTGTCATCAATTATAGTATTGGTATATTTTATTTGTAAATTATATGTTAATATACCTACTTATTTAAACCCCTGGGATACCTATTTTATGTTTGCTGGTTTGTTTTTATAGAGGAGGAGAAGCTTATATCAAAAAATTATTAGTACATACCAATGGTCCTTTGGGATTTCAAACCTCAGTTCTCACAGACATAATACAACCTTTTGGAATAGATGAATATGGAAATTTAGGAAACTATTGGATACTTGGTTCTCTTAATATCTCATATTTTGGAAACAATATGTACCTCATTCATATTGTATCAAAAGGTAAGTATAAAAATATAATCTATTTCTGATGATTACAAAAAATAAAAGTTATCTTCTGAGAAGACTTCATGTTTCTCTATAATATTTTTTTTTGTGTGTGTGTGTGTGGTGCTGAAGATTGGATCTAAAGCCTTGTATATGCTAGGCAAGTACTCTACCAGCACAGAACTATCTTTACCCTCAAATTCTCGTCCAACAGACAACCAAAGTTTACAGATACTTAGGTTTCAGGATCAGTTGTTCATAATATAATAAAACATACTGACAACTTTACAACTATATTCTCAGCAGTAGTGCTTATTATCTATTACATTGAGACTTATTAGTTCTTAAACAGTGTTCAGAAGAAGTAAGAGAAAATGGGATTTTTGTGTCAATTAAAAATACATTTGGAATTTAATTTTTTAAAAACTTTTTTGAAAGGAGGCCAGGAATGATGATGCAACACTTTTGAATCCTAGCACTCAGGAGGCAGAGGACAGCAGATCTTTGAGAGGTTCAGGTCAATCTGATGTACATATCAAGTTCCAAACTAGTCAAGGAAGTATAGTAAGACTTTGTGTCAATTTTTTTCAAAAAGAATATGACAATTAACAAAAAAGTGGTGGTACATGACTTTGAATTTACTACTCGTGAGGCAGAGTCAGGCAGATTTCTGTGAGTTCAAGGCTAGCCTGGTCTACAGAGTAAGTTCCAGGACAACCAGGACTACACAGAGAAACCCTGTCTCAAAATACAAAACAACAACAACTAAAAGAATTTGAATCTCTATTTTAAAGGATGTTTCTATTACTAATTATTATCTGATAGATACACAACAGAAGTTTATAGGATTTGGGAATAGATAGGTAGCTCAGTGATCAAATGTATATTCAGCTTGAAGGGAAGATTCCAAGTTCAGTTCCCATCAACAACCTTGGGCACTCAGAACAGCCTGGAACTCCAATTTCAGGGGATCAATGTCTCTGCTCTGAGGGCTCCTATCCTCACCACATACACAAACACACATAACTACTCATAATTAAAACCATTTTAATTTAGTGAATAATTTAGGATTTACCCTGAGTAACTGGGATTTACTAGAAAAGACTGGTCTGAATTGAGTTTAACAAGATCATGTTGTCTTTGTGACTAGGCAGGGGATATAGATAGGCCACAGAGGAAAGCAGAGAAGCCCAGTCAAAAGCAAGTCATGGAGTGGGAGATCATGTCAAACTTTAGGTTCCTATTATATCGCCAATTGTTAAACCTGCATCTTGTCAAGCCAAGCATGCACTAGACTTTGGATTCAGTCTACAGCCCACAAAGAGAGAGGCAAAAACAGAGGAAGAAAGGACAATAGCAAATCTGAATGCCAGAAAGTGGTTCACTCCTGAACCCTAGCACTTGGGGTTCTCAGACAAGAGAGCCATGAATTCAAGGTGAGCCTCAGCTTACATAGCAAGAACCTGTATTGTTAATTCTTTTATTGAAAAAAAGCATAAAGTACATTTTGATCAAATTTCCTCTCTGCCCAATTATTTCCAGATCCTCCCTAGCACTATATTCTAGCAACTTCATGTTCCCTCCCTAAAAACAAACAACACACAATGTTCCCCCACATAAACAGAAAACAAAACATGCAAACAAAATACTAATAAAACAAATAATACCAAAACAAAGCAAAATAAGACAAATATACCCCTGAGTTTGTTTTTTGTTAGCCAACTATTCTTGGACATGAGACCTACCCTGCCTGAGCTGTGTGTGTGTGTGTGTGTGTGTGTGTGTGTGTGTGTGTGTTCCCATATCTACTAAAAGGAGTGCATCTGACGAAGATGGAGTGAGGCACTGATGCATAGGTATAGAAGAATGCCATTAGAAGTCATTTTATTGCCATGATCCTTTAGCATAATAATCACATTGTGTTTTCCCTAGGCCCATAGCATATATAGCCCTAAGTTCTTTACCACTCTATCAGTGTCAGGTGTGAGTTCCATATCATAGAGTGAGCCTAAAATCCAGTAAGAAAGTGGTTGGTTACTTCCATAATGTTTTTGTCAGTACTGTACCAGTATGTCTTGCAGACAGAGCACTGTTGTAGATCACAGAATTTGTAGCTGGGTTGATAATTAACTTTCTCCTCTAGTAGCATGCATGCAGAGTAGCTTCTAGTTCTACAATCAGGAATCAATAGGCATGAAGTTTCTAGCTAGATACCAGCTTGACTTCTCTGTGTTCAATGAGATATATTATTGTTGTCTTCATCAAAGGGGCTTTCCATCATTTTGTGATGAGTAAACAATACCCTAGACAACAGGGTTTTACACAGGCCCCTTTAGCCAACAACACAACAGAATGTAACCCATTCCTGGCACTGAATGTTTTACATGGTGGCATAAGATAGCTAGTTGGAGCATTGTCTTCCTCACTAATGGTGACTGCATTCAGATTCCTTTTATATATGAATATATTTTAGGCACAGTAGTAGGTTACCATATGGCTTTTAAATGACCTTTGATGTTAATCATTCTTCCGGTATTTTCCTTCCTTTTACTCTTCCCTTGCATCCTTGTTCCTATTGAATTCTCCCAGTTTAGTTTCCCTTAGCCTCTCCATAATAATAAATTCTACACATCTGGATCTTCTTTCTCCATCTTTTAGTTAGTTTGGCTAATGATTTTTAATCTTCTATTTTCTCTAAGAAACTCTTAATTTCAGGATGTTATGTGGTTAAAAAAAAATCTATCCTAATATATCTTCCCTCTGCCTTAAAATTCCTGTAGGGGAAGTGTAGAGGACAATACGACCTGAATGCAGTTAAGCTTCAGATCCACATGATACACATGTGCATTCTATAATTTTTCTTCCACCAAAGCCAACTAACTCTCAGCTTCAGCTAATAATTTCCTGGAACTTTTTGTCCTTGTCACTGTCTAAGGCTTTGGTTGTCCTAATCATTTGATTAGGTTTTATCCCAATAAAGTGCCATAGATGGGAAATGTCTCTTTGTAAGTCATTAAGAGTCTGCAATCAATCTCTCCTAATTTGTAACCTTCGAGGTCTAATTATTGGCGTACCTATTTTATATCCTAAATAATTAATAGAATCTCCTCTTTGTATTTTTCAGGAGCAATTTTTAATCCCCAACAAGGCAAAATTTTCTTCTTCCAACATTCTTTCATTTGAGTCAACTAGTAAATATCGTCCATCTACTAGCAAATTATAGATTGAGGAAATTTTGTGTGTATTAGTTCCAATGGCTGACTTACAAAATTTTGGCAAAGAGTGGTCTGTGGAAGAACCTTCCATTGATATCTTTTAACAGGTTGAGAATTATAAGTTGGCAACATGAAGGCAAATTTTTCTGTTTTTTTTTTTTCTTGTAAAGGTAAAGTGAAGAAACGTTCTTCTAAATTAATGACAATAAGAGGCCATCCTTTAAACAATAGAGAAGGCAAATGAATTCCAGACCATTTTACAGATTTCTTTTTAATAGTAAATACAGGACAATTCCAAGGGCTGTTTGATTCTTTAATATGCTGAGATTTAACTGCTCCTGTACCAGCTCTTCTAAAGCCTTCAGTTTCTCTGTAGTTAAACGCCATTGTGAAACATATACAGGGTTATTTATCAACCATCTTAAAGGCAGCTGTTTGTGCCCTGTTCTTCTACAACCTGAATACTTAGTGACTGTTCTTTATAATACCTTGTAATATTTTCCCCAGAAACATAGGTTAATTCATGGATTGCTTCTAAGATTGGGGGAATGTTAATCTGAGTATTCCATTGCTGTAACAAATCATGTCCTCACAAATTCATTGCTATGTTAAGCACATATAGTTTTAATTTTCCTCTGTCCTTTTGACCTTATACATTTGACCCATTTAGTGCTCTGTTTTACCTGAGATAAAGAGCCAATCCCTAAAAGCTGAACATTTACCTCCTGAAGAGGGCAATTTGGATACCAAGATTGTGGTGAAATTATAGTTACATCCACACCTGTGTCTACCAGATCATCAATGACAATGTTATTTATTCATATTTTTAATTTTGGTCTTTGCTCATTTATAGAAGTTTGACAAAATACTTGCCTTATGGTTTCTCCTGTAATTTTTGTTCTCCCTCTATAGCTGTTCTATCATCGTGAGCAGTATGGTGGGAGAGCAAGCTTGCCCAGATTTCTCTTTAAACCTATAGTAGCTCCCTGTATTGATGTGTCACTTTTCTTGCTCTCCTCTATTCCTCTCCCCACTCAACCTTCCTGATCCCTCATGTTCTCCTCCCCCTGCCTCTTCTCTCCTCCTCTTTCTACTCCCTCCCTCCCTCCCTCCCTTCCTCCCTTCCTTTCCCCATACTCCCCCCCATTTGTTCAGGGGCTCTTGTCACTTTCAGCTTCACTGGGAGGCTGTGTATGTCTCTCTTTTGGTCCTCCTTGTTTCCTAGCTTCTCTGGAGGTGTGGATTGTAGACTGTTAATCCTTTTCACCGTGTCTAGAATCCATGTATGAGTGAGTACATACCATGTTTGTCTTTCTGTGACTGAGTTACCTCACTTAGGATGGTTTCTTCTAGTTCCATCCATTTGCCTCAAATTTCAAGAATCCATTGTTTTTTTTTCCTGCTGAGTAGAACTCCATTGTGTACAAAATTTTTGCATCCATTCTTCTGTTGAGGGGCATCTAGGCTATTACAAATAATGTTGCTATGAACATAGTTGAACAGATGTCCTTGTTGTATGAATGGGCACCCTTTGGGTACATGCCTAAGAGTGGAATTGCTGGATCTTGAGGTAGACTGTACTGGTTCCCAAATTCCAGAGAAACAGCCATACTGCTTTTTTGATATTCAGGCAAGTTTTAATAAATCATAAACAATATATCACCGCATAACACACTTCTTGCTGAATCTTGGATTTAAAGGCCAGAAATTCTGCTCCAAGCAGTGAGCCACTAAGATACAGAGTTCTCCAACTCCATTTTCTCCCAAAGATAAAACTTGTTTTGTTACTATAACCATTAC